TTTCGATTTTCCAATAACTAAAAATTTCTGTTTAAATTGACACATTTGCATGTTGTCGATTTTCTATTTATTTTAAATTATTATGCGATATATATTATATTTTCATTTGATAACATTATGAACACAAGATGGAATTTGACTGATATGTGCCCCAAAGATATTTAATAAATAACTGCTAAGTTTGTTAACTAAACTTTCATTTTCATGCTGTAAAGCATTAAAAGGACAAATATTTTAAAAATAGGGCCAATACAATTCAAAACATGCAATAATAAACAAGCACGATGAAACAAACTATAATGTGTAAATATATACGAGGCGATATGCTTCTTTTCATCAATAATACTAGTGTGCAAATGGGTACAGTGAGTATTTATTTGTTATATACAAACATAAGCGGATTAAGTTGAGCTTATAGTGTCGAGAACCCGAGATGAGCACAACTCAGGACGAATTTTCGACGCTTGTTTTATCTCGAATTTAATATAAGGAATTTTGTGTGTGAAAAATACGCACGTTAAACAAATAACGAGCAAGTAACAACAAGTAAATAAATTATTACAATTTTAGCTCACAAAGTAAATGAAAAACACCATTCCATGCCCCCGTGTATATTCAAACATTGTTGAATTTTTTTTAAATAGCACACTTGAAAGACGGAATGTTTAGTTGAAGTTTAGAAGCAAGTCTAAGCTGCTAAAATAATTTGACGCTCGTTGGCCATAAACTTCCTAGTCTCAGTTAATATATTGCAAGGAACGTGGATCTATTATCTCACTTTCAAGTTCAAATTATTCCAGGATAATGTTATTGAAGTACGAATTCCTGAGTATGATCAAGTTAATAAAGTAATTTCTGCCATACTTGCCTGTATTGTATGGTATTACTTAATTCTACATTTATTTAAGCCAGTTGAAATCACTGAAGCTATATGAATACGTCAGACACTCAGGTTGATTTCGCAACATTAACTGGGGAACTATGTGTGTAATAATGAGTTGGACGGATTTAATTTAAAACTGACATTCCATTGTTCTAATCTGATGTTCCAATATAGTGTTCTGATTAACTTGTCTCCGGTTTCCTTTATTACGGAAATTTTGAATTGTCAGAGATATTTTGGAGACGATATTTGATTGAAAAACTAATGTGAAATATACTCAAAGAAAATGTTTTAAGCTGCCATAATATGCTGTAATATGAATAAGCGTAGTTTCTAGATAACATCATTTGATATTATAAAATTGGATCGATAAATTGTCTCTCCTAGATGGATTTAACCATTCAAATGTAAAAATAAGCGTATTTTTACGTACATACATTACGTCCGCTGTGAATCATTTCAACTGAACACAGGCGTTCATTAAAACGCTGTCAAGTTCTCATTTAAAACAATTAATTTGAGTAAGCATTACCTTCGTCTGAAAAAATAGCACTTTTTCTTGCAAAACAATGGCGACAAATTTTATTTTATATATCCGGATGGAATATCCAAAGAAGCGCGAGAAAAATAGTCATTTGTAGATTTTAAAATTTATTTACAGGCAGACGTTTAATGTACAAGATATACAGCAAAGACATCGACAAATTATTCAAGGTAATAACTTTCTTCTAACATTAATAAGGAAAGAACATGAGTTTGATAATGAAATGCATCGCATCTAATACCTGAACAACACCTCATTTTCATATCGTTTTCATATCGTTCCATTCGTCACTGATAACGGGTCAATTTCGTAAAAACTTCAACTTAACGCTCAAAAATCAATTACCCATACTTCAAATTAGATTTTTAGAATAAAAACCCTCTCATAAGAACTTGAATCAAATTTATAGGCTAAAAAGGGGAAGAAACTCATTTAAATTTTCTTTTAGCATTTTCGTGCCGGTCGTTGAATTATAATTATTTAAATAGGTATGATAAGCATGGAATTTCTTCAAATCTTTCCCAGCGATTTTACTTGCATTGATTCTGCTGTCAAATTTCCAACATGTCAACGATACCGAATAGCAAGCTTGATGTGTACTCTTATCGCTGAAAATATTATCAACTTATCAATGAAAATTCAATTAATTTATATATAATACTATTAATTTATCTGTAGAACTATTCTGAATTCCAAGCTCGTGTTCTTGCAACTTCGAAGCACATTTATCATGGACCATGGATAGCCTCGACCTTTGCAAATTCTTCTTACAACGCGCTGAGAGAAAAACAGCAAGTAAAATTCACAGTCACAACAAAGCATGCCCGTTCTCGCTCGTCTGCTTTAGTAGAAATAATAGCTGTATTCAAAATGAACAGTTAAGGAATGAAAAGAGTCAAAAGGAATAGCTGTTGTCTTAAGGAACAGCAGGAGTCAAAAGGTACAGCTGTTGACAAAAGGAACAGCTAGACTCAAAAGGAACAGCTGTTGTCATAAGGAACGGCAGTTGTTATAAGGAACAGATGGAGTCAAAAGGAACAGCTGGAAACAAAAGGAACAGCTGTTATCATAAGAAAAAGCTAGACTTGAAAGGAATAGATGAAATCAACAGGAACAGCTAGACATAATAGGAACAGCTGTTGTTATAAGGAACAGCTAGAGTCAAGAGAACTCAAAATGAACATCTGCATTCAAAAGGAACATCTGTAGTCAAAATGAAGATCCGAGGTTCCAAAATGAACAGTTGTGAAGTTCAGTGAACAGATGACATATTGCACTGAACCTTGGCTGGCTCGTCGGAATTAATTTAAATAATAACTTCGCTGCGCGTCCCAACAAACACTTCTGCTAATTTGCTCAAGCACTCGACGTTTACATCAAAACATAATTATTACAATTTATTTCGACAAACAATATGTTTGTGTTCAGTCAGTCCACTTTTTTGCAAGAAACAAATAGATTTTAAATCTGGAATCAATAAGCGTTCAATTGTAATAATGATGATAACGAGATGCTAAGACACGAAACATAGCGAGAAGCTCAATTCACTATTAGCTATATATTTTCAAACTAAAAAGTAGTAGCATTAAAGTGATTGACGGAAAATGACCCCGGAGTTCCGTGCTCGGGTTCTTACAAATTAATGACGCGGGTAAAAACAGAGTATATTATAACCGGTTTTCTTGAAATTATTGTTAATTCAGCTATATTTTAAAGTCTGCAGAGTCACCATTTTTCTCCTTGAATAGCTTGAGCAATATATTTCCGTGGCCTCGACACTGAAGATAATTTATAGGTACGTGTGAAGTTCTGGTGCTTTCGGATTTATCAGGGTCAATGAGCTAATATAATATTACTGAAATTATATGCAAAAGGAAATCACTCAATTTTTTATTTGAAAAAAAAAATTTCGAAGAGTAAATCGCATGAATAAAAACAAGAGTTGTAGCGTTGGATAACAGGTTATTATAGGGTATTCGCTAAAGAAAGTATTTTAAACAATTTACTGGTGTTGCGGTTAAATCTTTCAACTTTTGGGTGAATTAAAAATATTATATATTTTAAATAAGTTTTTGAGTTTTCGTTAACCATATTGTTAATCATAAATGTTCAACAGCTGGCCTAGGTAATAGTCACCGATGCTTCGATAATTCGGTTTAAAAAAAAAAAAACTGCCAACAAATTTTTCATAGCCCCTGGTTGGAGATGGGCGAAATAATGGATTTTCCCAATTTAAAATATTTTATTTTATGAAGCTAAGGAAAAAATTGAGCTAATTAAAATCATTTCATACACTACCGAAAATTCTAATGCATTTCCAATTCGTCATTTGATGTCATCCAACTGTCAGCTCAGGAACGTATACAACAGCTTGTATACATCTGAAATGAAGTTTCGACTAAATGCGCCAATATAGAATATCAAATATTCTCAAGTTTAAAAAAATATGCCGTTTGAATGAATCCTAGTCCAGAATTCTCTAAAATTTCAATATCCATTCATTTTTCAATTAATTTAATACGGGAAATATCATTGTCACATATTATTTTCAGTTTTTATATGGAATTAAATCGTTGAGCCACTATTTTACCGATTATTTCCGTTTTGCATGCATAAAATTCTCGCACTGCATTCATGTACATCGTTTCTTACTTTAACATACACTTAATTATTTGAAAATCAATAATTATTTCACTTCAACAATTTTTAACATTCATATAAAAAGCACATTCATTGTGAAGCATATATAGACTCTCCATCAAATTTCCTCGATCCTGCTCCGACATAATAATGTAACTATTTACATTGAGAAACGTGCGAGTCACTTTCAGCATCACTTTTGCCTCCGAAGTTTTCTCGTACCATTCATTGTTCACGGCGTAATTTTAATTCATGAACATTTGTAAGTTATTTATAATCGGCATTCCTGATTGTTTTCTACAATTTTAATTGATCTTATAACGCAAATAAGCTCTATATATTTGGCCTGCTCTTGAAAAATAAATTTATTGATTTAGCTTCAAAGTACCGGTAACAAATCGCAATTTTCCCTATCTTTGCGGTAGCACCGGCATGCAACCCAGGGTGTGGCCGTTCAAATGTAACCACTGGTTTCTTTCGTGAAAATACTGAGATGGTTCGGATGAAACATAAAGGATTTTCAGCAAGTTGAATAACATATTCTGATGTTCATGCTTTTCAGAACATACTTTTTAGTATGCTCGCATAACAAATAAATCATTTGCGAACGTTCCCGTTTACTTCTTATGAATTGCGCCGCATAATTTTCAGAATTTAGAGGTCCTTAGTAGAGTTCATTTGGTCACAACATACAAACTCTATACAAGTATGTTCGCGAATCGCTATACACAAATTTTGCTTATATAAAGCTATGGTATTGGCGCTTCGAATTCCCTACTTGGATATACATTATATCAGAGTGTAATTACCACCTTTTTTACCAGAATTCTGCAAATATGTTATTGAGGATCTAAATAACTGCAATCATGCAACTGTTATGTAGAATTTTTTATTAACATTTTTCGAGTTTCTTCAACACCTTGCGGTTATTATTTGGCTTTACAGGTATAAGTTTTAAAGATTTTATAGCTTCAATGCACAGATTCTTTTTTTCATTGACATGCTCGTGCCACCTATTAGTTACACGCGTTCACAGCATTTTCCAATATATATCTACTTCCAATAGATTTAAAATCAGGTTCTCTATCGGTTGTAAGGTGGCTTGCATGAGAGCTAGTCCTCGAGAAAACTGTTAGCTCTTCGTCTGCAAGATTAGCCCGTCGGTTCTTGCTTAAGTAGAGCTTACATGACCGTAATTTTTCTCGTAGATGACATCATTAACATTGGACGGCGCTCGAGAGCTGCGGCGACGACTGCTGTTGCTGCTGTTGTTGCAGCTGCTGTCCCGTGTTACCCAATCTCATGGTCATTTTGTTAGGATCTTCCCTTTGCTGCTGCATGTATTGGGACTGTATGAACTGTTGCTGCTGTTGTTGTTGGTATGGGGAGGTATGTATGTCTGGTACAGTCTGGTTAGCATGGTACTGGAGTTCTTGTGGCGGAGCGGCTTGTGGTACAGTCGGTGGAGGAGGAGGTGAAGCAGCGTGTCGGTAGATGGTGTTTTGTTCTGTTATATGTGAGAGGTGGATTGGAGTTCCTTGTATGAATGTGGATTGTTTCCCGCACGTCGTGTATTCAGGAGGACAATCGGGGGAAGGTGAATAGGTTGCGCAGTCTGGAGGTGAAAATGATGTAGGTGCGATTGATCTCAAGGTGGAAGAAGACCGAAGTGTCCCGCAATGAGACGGTGACGGGATTGAGAGTGCCATACCAACACTATCGCTGTTTTCATTCGATCGCTTCGACCCTGAATTATTTGCTTTTCTGCAGTGAACTGTGGCGAGCACGAGGGCGTTTAGGAGTAGAAGAGAGACTCCTAGAGCAGCCGTGAGACTCAGAGTCGTGGAATAGGACAAAACTCCTGCTCCTTCTTGGGGATCATGCTTGTCCATTGGGGATTGTGGACCCGTTGCCGCTTGCAGCCACTCCCCTTCGCCTGGTTTACTGCGGTTACTTCCAACCCCAACCCCGTGAGGGTCCAAGCCTTGGAGTTCAGCGTCCAGGAGACTGTAGAGTAAACAGTAAAACAAACGCTTTTAAAAATTTACAAATGTCAGTACTAAACTTCAAAGAGTTCAATTTCAAAGGGATGAAGAACGCAAGGCAACTTCATAAGAAATACACCTCGGAGAATATATTATCCAATGTACAGAGAAATTTATAAACTTTCCCCTCTATGGCGAGGGTAACGAGCATTATCATCGCAACCAATCTTTTCAGGCTAGAATAAATCTGATGAAAGCGTGCTATGGTAACTTAATTCAGGTCTCATAGCAATAACTTATGGGAATCCATACCGAAAAACTTGTGTAAAAATAATATCATTGCATGGAAGCAAGGGGTTTGCTGTATGAAGAAAAAGCGGTTATTTTGCATCGGTTTTATTATGCGGATGGAAAATTAATGTCGCCATACGGTACAAATGAAACACCGATACTGTTGGTAATAATACAGAACAAAAAATTCTTTATGCGTGAATAAAATTTGCATCTTGTCATTTTTGATACATGAATGTTCATATTAAACACCCGCCCGCTCACGTAACTTGAGCTGCAATCTGGAACTCGCAATTGCTCTACAACAAGAATAGCGATGTGTGTTCACTGCAACCATATTAGCTTCTCTGCATCTTACAGCGCCTTTTTGCCTTTATTCCAGATTTTTTATTTGTCATACCAGGGAAGTTGAAAGGAATTTCGCGGCCCTTGCGCAGAAGAGTGCATAAAACACCGGTCTTTGATACGGACTTTGATATAGGACGGCGCAATATTAAGGCTACGGGGAAAATTAGAAGGAAAGATGATGTTCCCTGAATTTGGGGTAAATTTCCTTTCAAGTTGCGCTCTAAGGAACATTTTCCAAGTCAAGTAAATTAGATGAGCTAACTTCGTTTCCTTTAAAAAAGGGTTCGGCCAGGACAACATTTTTCATGCACCAGAGATGCTATAAGAAAGGTTTTGCTGCGCATGCCAAGTCGGGAAATGTTGCTGCGTGACTGAAATAATACGAAAAAAGCATTACAAAGTAAAAAAGATATTTTTTATCAATCTCAATTTCAATCCTCAATTTTTTCAATCTCAATTTACTCAATCATCATTTTCCGTCGCCAATCGTGTAAACAACCTTGAGATTTTACATTTTGATACAAGAAGACAAATTTCTATCAAAAGACCATATTGTTAGTCCTAAATAAAGAAAATTACACATTTTACAACTGAGTTTCATCGTTGATAGCGGGGCTTGATTATTAAAAGCTTCACTCAAATTTCAATCGTCTAGTCACATCTATTCTATTGGCTGTCAACAATTCAGATCAGTGGATCAGAATTGGTAAAATTTTTATCTCTAAAATTTGCGGCCAGAAGAACTGTTGAACATTATAAGTGACATAAATACCTATAGAAGATAGAGATATAAGAAATGATAGTGACTATGAAAAGAAGACGATTGTAAAAGAAAGTAGTGAGTGCCTGAGAGCCCAAGTTAATCGACTACAAACTTTTGTGTTTCAAGTCAACCAACTTAAGTGGTTTCTAGATTGCCAATTGTTGCAACCGACGCGTATATGTCAGGTGGAATAGAGCAAAACTAAAATAGTTATGTACAGACGTGCCAGTGAATTCTATTTCGAGTTAATTTCTCGTTGAATAATAACAAATACATGTAATTCTTTATTCAATTGATATTCAGTGTCGTCTGTATGCCTAGTGTGTTACTTGCTTGTGATGCTACGTCCACTAGTCAGCGCTAGCTCAACTGTAATTAATTCATTAATTCACTAACCCAGGGTGAACTGTCGAGGTGGTAGGCATGGTGGTAGGTGGTAGCAGCGGTCTCGGTCTGGTGGGACCGGAGAAGGTGTCGTGTCGGTGATGGTCCGGCAGGGTATGGTAGGGGGAGTCCGGTCCGTGTCGGGCACCAACCCCCTCCAGAGCAGGTAGAAGCCATGTCCATAGCGCCACCCGACTGGACCGGTAGTGAGACCTCAGACGAGCCCGCTGGAGACCTTTTAATATAAATCAATTGCATTAGAAATCAACGAACTCTCAATCAAGAAATAAAAATAAAAATTACACTGATTTTTATTATAGTTTAATTTGAATTATATTGAAAGATCCATCACAGTCAAAATAGAATATAAGCCATTTAATAAACAATCTCTTTAAACCGTTGTTGTGATAACTATTAATTTATCACACGAGTTACTTATCACATATCGATATTTGAATATTTAATCGAAGGTATCAAACATGAACGCCTCGACACCGATAAAACTTTGACGCTATTAAGCCAACAATCGGGACCATTAGGATTTTATTTCCTGGCTTAAATTGTCACATGGTTTGCAAATCCAAGGGATATTGAACGTCAGTTCGGGTATTATTCAGATAAACGCCTGCCTAGAAAGATTTACGTATCTTTATACAACCCCTAACAAAATTTAGAGTCGCCCCAGCTTCTGGGGCGACTCAGAAGCTGCCGCGTCTGTAAATTTTCACTGGGACGTCACTAAATCACAATTTACTATTTTTTTTGCTCACTCGAAACTTTATAACGATGAAGCATACGAGAATTTTTTGTCATCTTATAATATACATATAATTCCTGTAATCCGACTAGAGTTTTTTCGTATTTGTACACCGAATTTTAAAATGCAGAGTTGCTGTAATTCAACTAATAATTCGATTCGATTGTGCTTTCGATTACTCAAGCTAGCTGGTGCAAATAAAAGCTGACTTACTCGTGGTGAACACTGCATTAAAATTATAATATCATTCATGTATTCCCAACGAGTCAATCGAATTAGCACCTTGTAGCTTTATTACCGTGACTTTAAAGTAATAATGTCGGATTCATGTGGACATCATCGGTGCTGTGGGCACCGGAGCAAGCAAGTAAAGTCTGCTGTCATTTGCAAGATTGCTTTGCAATCAAAGTGATGCTGTTTAAGCATACGGTATTCGTTATCAGAGCAATGATATCTTCGCCAAGATATTTGAGGACTTGTGACAACTTTTTCCAATATGCGAGATGAGTCCGGGCGCTTCAACGAAACTTATGAGGTACAGAGATTGACGGACGAATTTTTGCTTTGATATTTCATGTGATACAGGAACGAAAAAATCAATTTGATTTTCCGCGGAAATTAATTAATTTGTTAACGTCTCCAAATGAGATTTTTGTGAATATGGCTAACAACAAATAAGCTTGATGACTCAGAAAATAGTTCAATAACATATATGGACTCTGAAAATTATACTAAATACAATTAAACTATTTGCTTCTTTTCTATCTCAAATCTCTTTCGTCTGGCCAGGATTCCTGTCATAAACTGGATACGTAAAGAAGGATTTCGTTGTCCCAGTAATAAAAAGTTACTGGCATTCAATATGATAGATGATTATATATCCTTGCATCCGTAGCCTATTGCAGGCATATTTAGGTCCTGAGAGTTGTCCAAATGTTTTGTCTATGATATGGCGCTCTACTGTATTTTAAAAATCTATATTATTCAAATTTGTTCTTTATCATCATAATAATTTTTAAACCTATCGAGGTCACACACCAAGACCAAAATTGCTTATACGCTCCCAGCTAACATTATTCGGTTAATAGCTTTGTGCTCCATCTTCTCGTGTACCTCTGATCCCTTCTCAATGTCCCGGAGGAATCGTTCATCTACATGATCACTTAGAGTGTCGAAATTGTGAGGGGCATATTCAAGATGAGAATCATTGCAGAAAATTATATCAGGCAAGCTTAATTTTTAGCCACTTTAAAATTTCTTCTCAATTTCCTAACAATATATCAATGACCTGTATGAATGGATCTCGTTCTAATTTTAACGATACTTCAAGGAACTATTTTGATGACTGGGAGGTGTCAGAAGCCCCTATCATCCTTCATCTATGTCAAAGTCTTCACATTTCGCTAATATTTTGATCAAGATTATACCTTCTATTGACTGTTTCAAAGAACAAACCTATCTTCAACTTGAAAAAATGACACTAGTATCTGAGAGACTCCATCTCATGGTAGTGGTTTTACTAATTGATGGTTAGGGGCTCATTTTACGCAGTGTGATGAAAGGATAATTCAATTAGAGGGTAGCCAGGTGGTTCATCGGATGACATTTCTTCGCCGACTGTTCCCTCGTTTGTCAGAAAGCCATGCACAAGACTGTCGATTCCCGCAAAATCTCGGTGCAATTTATCCAATTGCTTCTTGAGTAAAACTTTGGTATGATATCATATGAGTAGACAAAAATTTATAAATTATCGTTCCCCAGCATTATTCAACCGTCATCGTAGCTCGTATCTGTTTTAAATGAGCTTTGGGCTGAAACTAAAAAAGGTAATTTATTCATACCCACGTACCATCTGTTTCCTCCAATGATTTAAATCAAACATCAACATAAAAAAATGTTTTAGTTCAGCGCTGGCTTCTCAGAGCAAGCACATTCAGTCAACAACTTTTTGTCAGCATCAAGTGCGAGTGTCATGATTCAAAGTTATTCATTTGGTCATGGGAATCACGGACGGTTGCACATTAACTATAAAAAATCTTAGCATAAAGATCCTAAGATGTGAGATGAACAATCTGCACCAATATTTTATTATAAGCATTCGTTTTCAGCTCTTTAATTTACAGAAAACTTTTTTGAAAACAATTAATAAAAGTTTGGTTGCAAAACCGAGTTAGTTTTGACATTCGCGATTGCCTTTCTGCGAACGTGAATCTATTTTTCTTTAATGTTCTAATCTTCTTGTTTAATTTAATCTATCTTTATTTAATGTTTTAGTCGTCTTTTAATTCTCTTTCAGTTGAAGAATGGAAAGACAGAGTTGCAGAGAAATTATTTCTTATTTTTTGCATCATAGTTGTAAAATAACTATTACAGAAATGTATATTACTCTAGCTGATTGGATTTGAGTTGTTTTGCCACTTACAATGAGCACGAACGGAAAACTTCCATTTTGCACCCGAATGAATTTTTTTGATCTATATTTTCTAAATCGGCAATAACTTCTTTTTTTTATTTTTCCGGTACATATATAGCCTGTCTCTTTGAACATGCGAATAAACACAGAAAGCATTAGGAAAACACACCATTCCAGTTTCATTGATGTTTATCCTTCACACCATACAAGTTTCATTGATGTTTATCCTTCATACCATACAAGTTTCATTGATGTTTATCCTTCACACCATACAAGTTTCATTGATGTTTATCCTTCATACCATACAAGTTTCATTGATATTTATCCTTCACACCATACAAGTTTCATTGATGTTTATCCCTTGGCCTGTTATAAAACAAATTGTGTACATTTTTTACTCGTACCTCAAAGCAAATTTTACCTTCACTCGTGGAGCTTTGACGCGCGATAAAACATCATATTTTGAACTGCATGGGACATGAAATTAACATGAAATGGGGTGAATAAATCAGGTGCTCGTGAACGTTGCATTGACTGACATGAGTTCGACTTTAGATAGATGAATATGCTTCTAAATACATAATTATTTTTTCTTTGTTTCATAAATGACTTAGGTTCATGATGATGTTTCATTATTTCTGCAGCAATTAATTAAGACTCAAAAATTCAGGCATTGAGATCTTCCCTGCCTATTCATTCACCGTAAGAAAGCATTATTGCTGAATAAACAACATTCTTAGCTAAATTAAGATCCCTGAGATTGAACATTGTAAACAATCATCGTCTCTAAACATTGTAAATAAAAATTATCATCAAGAATTCTCAATAAATATTATTACTGAACATCATCACTACGCACATTTTTTCACAAATATCGTCTCTACAGCCATGACGCAAACATGTCGCTTAAAAAAAATTAGATTTGCTTCATTTGAATTTAGCCGACATGCCGGTTGGGTTGCATTCAAAGCCTTACAAAAATTTCCTATATCCCGGAAATTTGCCGCATAGTTCCCATAATTTTCTCTATAGTTATTAAACTCTAGTAATGTTAGGAATGTCGCATGCTATGGTAACAAATATTGTGCACTCCTTGTGGCCGCAGGGTAAATTATCAACTTTTTCTGTCCACTACTTGTTGTCGAGGCGTGCAGTTCTAAAATGTGCCTTTGCTGTCGGTGCTGCTGATTAGAATTTGTTTGATTTGTTGGGTGTTCTGTTATATAAGTAACATTCATGCTATCGATGTTATGACCTAAAAATACCTTGTTTGTTTAGGTTGCTGTTGTTTATAAGTTGCTTGTCGTACGAGCTGTACTTTATTTTGAGCAGGTACTTGTTTTGCTGTCGGTGCTGTTGTTCAATATAAACTTATTTCCTTACGATACAATAGTTCGAAGCTACTCTTTGCGTCTGGTGATGTTGTTTATAAAACGAATGTTTTGCTCTCGATGTTATTGTTGTTCGAATTATACTTGTTCTCTTGTAAATTGAATATAACTTGATCTATTACCAGGCTATTATTTGAACTAAATTTTTTCACTGACGATGCTTTTCATATGAAAATCAATTCATTTGCTGTCGGCGAGTTTTCTAAGAAACTAATTGTTTTTCAATAGCCGCTGCAACTTTTGTTATGAAATCAATGCTGTTGTTTATTGTAAAACGAGTGGCATGCTAAATGCTGACTTGTAATCATCCGATTCCGTTATATTCATTCATTGCATATACATATACAAGTGAATCTCGCTATTAATATTCTGTTAAATTTATTCAAATTTCGAATAATTCTATACATGGAAAATATAACAAATTTCATGAATTCAACTTCGTATGAGTAAAATCACAAAGTTAAAATAATACAGGGTGCGGCGTGGGAACTTACTCTTTTAAAAAAATCACAAAGTAAAAAGTATTAAAGATAGCGTTTTAATTCTTTCTTTTTTACAAAGAGCTACATTTAAAGTTTCGTTGGGTTTACTTACAAGTTTAATTCTTGAATATTACATCTTGTAGGTGACCTCCATGTTCGACCACTGCATGGTCGCAACTGAACTGAGTGGACGAAAAACTTCATAGCCCGCGCACCATATTGCGCATGGCGCCACCTTCCTAGGACTAATGGCCGCCACGTGGCGCGCAATTCAAATAAGTAAGTTCCCGCGCCGCACCCTGTACTAACCTGTTAACTATGAAGTTACAATTTGAGCTCCTCTAAAGACAAATACCATTATTAATTTGAAGTATTCATTTGCAATTACAAGGTGCTTAGACAAATTACAATTAAGGTGCTTAAAATGCAGACAAAACCGGTCATTTCGTGTTGCCCAACACACGATGAGTGATGTTATCCTCGACTTACGTGCACTTTATCTTCTACATCATGTAATCAATCCGCAAATAGAATTTTGGTCGGCCATCGAAGCAGAAATAGTTGACTATGGTAACATATATTTATTTTAATTAATTAATACTTGTTAGGCTCCAAATAAATTCTGATATTAGAATCAGAAAAGAAAAATTACTTGTTCAATATGCAAAATGATTTACTACTGGTTCAATATCACAAATATTTTATTTCTACTCATTTTCAGAAATGTTTTATTTTAATGTTTATTTATTATCGGAAATGGTTTATTGCATGTTCAATATAATGTTTGTTATACATGAACTTAGATGCTTCTCTCCTGGAAAGATCGAACGATGCGTAGAACATTGATTCCTGTTTGGCAAGAAAAACCTTCAATCCTTTCCGCAAGAAAAGGAAACCTTCATTCTTTTCCGCTAGAACATTGATTCCTCTTTTCGCTCGAAAAACCTTCACGATTATTATAGTGCTGGTTTATTATTATACCATCAATAGTTCGTGGTAATTCTTCAGTTAAAAAATTAATGTCTTGAACGGACTGTCCTTGGAAAACAACGGGAATTTTTAGAAAAATGTGTATAATTGCGACGCATTTTAATCTTTATTGGTGTAAAATCAAGAATGAAAGTAACGTTGAAATATTTTTCTACGTGGAATTGACATAATCAACCATTATCAGTTACAGCCTCTTGACGGGGTCAGAGTGGACTGACTCTCACCGAGTTCCAGGTACCGCCGGTTGATGAGGTCAGAGTGGACTGACACTCACCGAGTTCCAGGTACCGCCGGTTGATAGGGTCGAAGAGTTCCCATTGAGGTGTTCGGTAAGGAGGTCGCCCTGGCGCTTCTCTGCTGAGCTCAGCGAGCGCGGGGTCGTTCGGATTGCTGAAAAAAAATAACGATTGCAACTCAATTTATATTGTTACTTTTTTTGACTTATGGGTATGAGTCTGATTTGTACCCAATTGAAATGGACTTTTAGTGAGATGGAATTTAGCAAAAAAAGTTTATCAGTGAGATATAAAATACAAAATTAGCTGTTTTTTCTTAATATTTGCATTGTAGAATGTAAGCGTTTGAGAATATTTTTGTAATAAATCTTTACAGGTTATATTCTCCCTCCCTATACATTTTCTGCTCATATAATTTGTTATATAAATTCAATCAACAATTGGGCCTCATAAACCTCATCTCAGTTCCCTAAATTGTTTAAAATCTCACCCTCTTCTACACCTCAGTTCCCCAAATAATTCAGAATCTCGCTCTCTATTCTTCACTTCTACACTCTATACTCTTAAATGCCTCTACACTCTACTTCTCTTCCGTTCATGTGTGTAGCTTCAACCCCTTGCCTAAGTTTCCTACAGACCAAGCCATCCAGGCGGGAAATTTTTGCCTAGGGGTTTCCTATTAGCGTCGTTTGGGCTGCCTGGCCTCCCTTGCCCTTAGCTAATCCCCATTTACGAGCTTCTCAAATCCTCACTCTGCCTCTGACCGCCAATTTAACCCGTGCTAATCAAGGCACACAAAAATCAGGATATTTTTCTGTGGAATACTGAGTCAGGGGAGGAAATTCTCCCTTCCAGACTTCAGTTAATTACCAGCTAATATTCGCATACCTATAATATTCATGCGTTTTTATTGTGTGTAATTTGCCTTTCCTTATTAGTTTGAAAATTTGATCCTTTAATTCCACATTGAGGACATTTCATGGCACTAAATATTGAAAATCTCATCCATGCTTTTCTTGCTTTTTTTCTCTGATTTATTCTTTATTTATGCATGTATCTTGTTCCGATTATTTATCAAAAACATGTCAGGAATTTTAGAATCTTATGTCCAATCTTCCCAATAGCGTCCGATTTGCATGTTATTCTCGTTCACAAATCAAGCAAATATTCGAGGATAATCCTCTCTTGTATTTCGCTTTCAAATATAAGTTCTTGAAAACCAGTAAACTCTACGTGTTTACTTTCAAGGACCCCAAGTTCACTGGCCAAAAGGAAAAACTTGTCTGAATTGACTGCAAAATATTAATAAACAAATTCACACACGATCGCACCATAACTTGTAACCAAGTTTAATTTGTTTAGCTCTAGTTCTGGTTGCTCCGAGTGAAGGCGGTATCAAGTTGAAATTCTTTTCCAAGTTTGATCCTTAAAAATTGATACATAGACGAATAAACACTTCAAAAAAAATAAGACATTGCACTGGTTAATGGTCGCACCACGTACTTGCCAACGTATCTTGTACATGTTTTACGTACCCCATGCAAGGCAACATACCTAGTACATGTTCATCATACCCCGCACATACCCACCTACCTAGACCCTGTTTAACATACCACATTCGTGCCCACGTACCTCCTACCTGTTTAACGTACTCCTAGCATTGCCAAGTATATACCTCGTACACATTTAATATACTCCTAGCATTATCATCAACGTGCATCATACATGATTAATTTGTCCTATACATGCCAACGTACCTGGGTACGTGCATCATACATGATTAATTTGCCTCATACATGCCCACGTACCCGGGTACGTGCATCATACATGATTAACTTGCCTCATACATGCCCACGTACCCGGTCCTGATAAAGTTGCTCCAGAAGCTGATGACGGCGGAGCTCAGTGACATTTCGTCCAGAGAATAATTGGTACGCGAGACCAGGGGGTACGGCGTGCCTAGCGGGGCACCAAGTACCAGAGCCATCTCCAGTAGTGGCACCTAGAATAATAGAAGAAAATATAACAATTTAACTAACTTTCTAGAAAATAACTTAATAAATTCCCGATATCAGGAGAATAATTCTAATAATTTGTTAAGTAAACTGTGATTTTAATGGAATTATAGTTAAATAATTGTAATGTATAGAAAAATACGTTGTACAATTTATTAAAATAGTGAAAAAATTGAAAGATACTTCTTACGAATGTTATTTGTGCATACTAATTTAAAAGTCGACTAAAACATTAACTTTCTATTTAGGTGTCTGGAGAATAGCCTAGATCGTTCAGTCGTTCAAATTTTAGAAAAAGAATAACCATTCACCGGAGATTCTCGTTGTAGTTAAATGAACATAGGTTCATTCGGTTAAAAGTTTTAATAAAATCAAGCCATCAGTTTTCCGTATAACCTGCAGGCCTTTCAATGACTTTCAAGCTAATACCTGGCATTTTCTAGCCAAAATACATAAATATTTCAATTTTCTAGCTAAAATGCTCATTATACCTACGTCTTACCTATATTTTTGACCGCTGAATGCGTTTAAAATATGCTAGCGTGAAAATATCTGAATTAGCAGCACTGCCTGCAGCTCAGCAAACCGTAGCAACTGTCAAACAAATTACCCACAATTGGATACTTCTTCTCACCCAAGTTCCTCGTGAAATCAACCCATGAGATTGTCCTTCAAACTCGGAGCACAAAAGCTCGTAGCAACTGTCAGAGTAAGTTCAGTTTTAGACCAGCCAAGTTTTGAATTAGAGGCCTGGAACACGCCATATCCCGCCTCCAAACGACACAAAAAAACATGTAAATTTGAACGGCAAAAACGCCGGATACATCGCCGAGTAAATGTTTTTAACTCCTACCGCAGTCGATTAGTGATTAGTGAACATCGAACCAAAGCAAAAATGGATCTCATAAATGATAAAAAAATAGCGTGCCACCAGAGCTAATAAACTACGCCCCACGAAAACGAATCACAATCAAAATGGTCCCTATACTCGACACTCGTTAGCTCATGACTCGGTTAGTGCATTCAGCGTTTGGTCAAAGAGTCAAGCGACATCAAAGATTTGGGCGTTAAAGATAGGTTCTAATTTTACACGAAATTCGATACTAAACACAAATCGATTGTTATAAAGAACAAGCATTGTTTGGAAAACATAGAATTTTTACGAGTTTCTTTTGCTGCAAGTTCAGGTCAAGAGTACCATTAGTAAATGTACGAATAACAAAACGATCGAAAACCAATATATTTCTAATTAAAGCGAATGTATAATTGGCAATTTACTGTTAGTTAAAAAAGTCGATCCAAGCTTCAAAAAATCAATCTTCCTTGCATCCAATGCAACACTTCATAACAATAAATATATTCTTAAATGTTACTAAATAATAAATCTTATTTCATAATTCACCTTCAGTGGTATCACAAATAATAAAAAAAATTAACAGCGTTTCTTAGTGTTTTCTGTATTCCTCATCTACAATCGATGATTAACAGCTCATTAAGTTCATAAATGCCCCATATAATTTCCTTTTACTCTAAAATGTACCTGTAAGCATTTATTACTTAAAAACCAAATTTATTTTGTCGAAAATTTTATTTCATCGATATTGATTGTCATAATACGAACTGGCATGTGCTCCTGTTCTAAGGAATCTTTATCAAACACTTCAGAATTTTTAATCGGCTTCAAGCAAGAAAACATGCCAGCCTCTTCAACACATTATTATCCCAATGCCACGCCTGTCAATATTCCTCTGTAAAATAACAACATTGGGTCCAGGCTTACTCTACATAATTTCAATATTATTTTGGCCTCCGTCCGCAATGAAAATACGGAAGTTTTTAGCCCTATTTGTTTAATTGAATGCAGGCTGTGCTCTTTTAATATCCCGAGGTCAACTGCACATTAGTTTAATGGTCCTGAAAGTTACGCCTGCCGTTTTGGTGGTTCAAAGTTAATCGTTGCTGCGATGTTGAAGGCCACAAAAATTTTAGCCTTTCATAATTTCGGCGCATACATATTTTAGTACAATACTTTGTTAGTAATGAATATAATATATAGTTGATCATTAAATATATTTTCATTATTGATTTGTTTTTGCTTCAAAGTAAGACGTCACTTGATATTAACACGATATAGGAAGGTGCCACGTTCTTTAAAATGTTGGTTTTTACAAAAGCTTGATTAATTATGATTAAGATTCTGAATAAAATCAACAAATTCCCAGCAATGCTTACGTTGCGACCTGACTCATATTTACTTACGGACTTCAATAATATGTAGGAATAAATAAATTATGCTATTATAAGTGCGTCTGATAGATTACTGGTGGCTGAACGATATATGGCCGCTTCTGCCAACAATCGACAGTGAAACATCAATAAACCTAGAGGATGATGAGTGCACGTGATGTTAAGCGATTATTCGTAGAAGATTTATAGGCTATGATTAATCGATGGTAAATTGCAGGTGAACACGGGGATCCATGATTTAATCCCTCATTATAAGGCACTTTTGGACTTTATATGTTTACAATATACTATTATGCAGATTAATAACCTATTTTTAAGTGGGTTTGGTAGCAGGCACACCAAAAACGGTGTTCATGCTTACTATGGACCGTATAATTTAGTGATCAAAGCTTCCATTTAATGATCGGGTTCAAATCAAGACTCCCTCCGATATGCATGGTTTTCTAGAATTTATATTCGATATAAATTCATGAAAGTTTTATTTGTTTATAGGGATTATTTGCCGCTAGAAGCAAGTGAGTTACAATTTCTTTAACGAAGTATGGTGTCACTGTGCAAGTGTTGAAATAGTGGAGAAACAATATATAATTACATTCTAATATGATTAATTTTTTATGAGATTACGGTGAACCAGATTTCTTTGATCGCCCAGTCAAGCTTCTAAAATAGATTTCTTAAAATGATTGAATAGTTTCTAAACTAAATTATTAATAATCAAACAAGGTTAGTGCATTTCAACTCTCCCGGGCTTTCGTATGTTCGCTTGCCTTCTCTAAGTTTCAATTTTATATTTACCTATATTTACTGTAATATTGTATGCAATCTAATGCGCTCATTTGATATAACAGTTTTTGATTTAATACATTTATTTTCAAAACATCAAGGAACATAAATCCCGTTATGAAAGAAAGATTTACTTCGCCCAGTTTTTGTAGAGGCCGCAGTTGTTTAGAACATCCTTCTAGCAAATGCGACGCGACGGCTAAAGAAAAAAAATCTTAATTTATATTTTCTAGGTTCCGCTAAATACCGTCCGCAACTGAGCTTTGTCAGGAATAAACAATATATATTTCATCGGTATTTTATTTGATAATGGCAAAATGTTCAAATAAACAATGGCTAATGGGACGCCCAGCTCATTAAAAGGTTACGCTAATATCAAGTAATGTTTTCAGAGATTATTGGATTTGGCACCTCCATCAGGTTCAATGCATTTAAGCCATGGATGCGAAAAATACTCAAATCTTATTCAATGAAAGTTTGATTATCTAAAATTAATGGGCTATTTTGTATCCACACATAATGATCACAAAAACTGCGGATAATTATTGATATTAATAAATTGAAATAAATTAAAGTGGCACTGAGGAACTGGCTTATATTGGCTTGGGCTGCTCCGGGTGGAACACACGCGAGGAGGAAATTTATTTGCTTGAACTTGGGTGTGGCACGCTCATAATTTTTTCAACTATATTCCCAATATTGTTGTTAGCACTGCAATGTTTCATATATAATTAATGATCATACGAATCTTGTCGATTTTGAGTAAGCATAAACGTATAAATATCCGGACAAGTTCAGTGTGGAAGTGTAAAGGCGTTGGATTCAATGCCAATTGAAAAAATTTCATCCAATTTATTGTGAAAGGCGGTGACCGATGTCACATCAATGGACCGTCGATGGTGTGGCCAGATATTGGCGAAAGGTTGGTTTCTCAGGACGAGTGACCATCGGCAGGTTATAGATGTGGTATAGGTCCGACACGCCATTGATGCATCATCGATGTAGTATTGATGCAGCGCCTTTAGGTTTTGCCAATCCCCAGCAACTAAATATCAGTGTTCCACCGATACTTTTATTAGGCGAGTTAAGTTAGACCGACTATAGTCATTGACGAGATTTCAGCAAAACTCAATCAAACTCGATTATTCGTAAGAAACAAATTATGTGCTGTTGAAACTTTCAATATCTGCTACGTCTTTAGGGAGAAAAAATGCTCTCTTTGTTTTTTATGTTAGCTATGGGGTTTGGGAGGGGAAACATTTCTAAGCGGGTGGAACGTGACAAAACTATTCACATTCTGCAAGAAGATCAATGGGTCAAAAGTTGGAGGCTGTAGATAAGTTTGCTGAACATAAATTTCCCGGTAATTGCTGTAACTTTTTTCTATATTGTAGCAGAGAACGGAGGAAGCAAAGCTCATTGTAAATAGCTTAAACGTCTGCTTGAAACTAATGAGAGGTTGCGTATTTCTTATATGGCTTTTATGTGAAGAAAAATGGTGAGTGATATTCAACAAATAATAATAAATATACCTGACACTCTTAAAAATATCTTGACTATACAATATTTGGATAACGGTGCTGGAGAATCTTGAAAAAGGAAAAATTACAAAAAAAGAAATCATTAATCTTTCAAAAACCTCCCTTACTAAAACTCTTTTCTCTTAGTGTAGCATTCCCAAAAATTTTTGTTATGACTATATGTAAATATGAGTCCCTTTATATTCACGGGTAAACAATGAATGCACAGTCTACCCCCAGGAAACTGGGAATATGATAGATGATTTGTTTTAAGTAGGCTCCTAAAATTCACATCGACCGCCATGAAAACCTCCCGTGCCGCATTGAATAAACATCATTTCTAAATTCGGGTCTCTCGGCTACGCTAAAACCCCTCTTGAGAGGCAATAAAATTCATCGTAATATTTTTAGTACTTGCATACACAGGCAATGCTTTTTTATTCACGCTTAGGGGCGATATTACTTGGTATCTAATGCCTAGCAGAGGAATGCTAAGTTTGAAAATACATTGCAGCACAAAAGGCCAGCACTCGCAGGGCACTCTTTATACCCTAACTTAGGGCATCTCGTACGTGAAGTTACGCCAAGCGTCTGAGTTGCGCGGCTTCTAGGGTAACTTAGCGCATTGCTTGACCACGTTCACAAGGAGTATCTATTTCTTGTCTGTGTTCCAGGCACAATACGATAGCAATACTTATTTATTTAAGAGAATTTGAATTTACCCTCACTACGTACGCTTTTCTGTAACTTGAAAGTGAGAGTGGATATCATAATCAGAACATGTCATGAGAGCATATCATTACTGCATAATAAATGAACTGGCATTGTTAGTAGAATAAATACTGTTTAGTATCCATACTTATATCATTTATGAAACAAAGTCTTTATGTTTTCAACCAATGAAACCGCAAAATGTACGAGGCGATGCAAAATATTCCTGTTGTGATAATCTAATCTCATTTTAATTTTCATTAGTTGTGAATAGTATTGCTGCACTTCTCAATTTGAGTTCGTGTGCCAGAGATTCATTCGCTGCATCAGTGTCGATTTAGAATTTCTGTCTATTTTCAGTGAACCATACAACTGAACCCTGTTATATTAATCAGTTCTCAACATCTAACGTATTCGCTGTCTCTCTTAGTTGGACTTGCATTTATTACCACTATTATTCATTTACTATAATGGACCGCTTCTTACTATTGGCCATGTTTCTACTAAAATGTTCCTAATGGGAGATCTTAATGTTGCGGCCAATGAATTAGACCAATTAGAATGAATTACGATGATTAGAATAGTATGAAAAGACATGTTACAACGAGCGAATAATGATTGCAAAGTCTACGGCGAAAGAAGAGTTGGGAATTTATGTCGACAAGAACCTAATATTTTCTGAGCTCATTGGAGTGCAAGCTAATAAGTCCAATAAACTGCTTAGATTGATCAGACGCTCTTACGAGTTCCTAGATGCAGAAGATATGAATTTTATTTGTAGCTGTCATGCGCCTGAACCTTGACTTTCAAATAAACGCCATGTGGTCACCGATACTTGAAAGGACAAAAATTTAGTCGAGAGTATTCAGAGACGTGCAACAAGGATAATTCCAGACTTAAAGGGCAAGTCTTATGAAGAAAGATTAAAGATTATGAAGCTTCCAAGCCTCTGTCTTCGACTTCTGCGCGGTAACCGCATTGAAGTATACAAGTATGCTCATGTTTTATGCAAGGTCCCAGATGGATTACTAGAATTTGTAACAAGAACCAACACCAGGAGCCACGGCTAAAAACTAAAACACTGCGGTGCTATTCATCCATGTGACAACATTTTTTTCGCTTCGAATAACCGACATGTGGAACAGCCTCCCTGAAGAAATTGTTGACGCTCAAAGTATGAACGCGTTCAAGAATACACTAGACAATGCTATGCTAAAGTATATGTTCAGTCTTGAAATGACTATCACCCTACGGAACTAGTAAAAGTCCAGTGATTATGTAAACCAACGTCAGCGAAAAGATCTTGCCAAAAGGCAAGTTTTATATAAGTGAGTTATTTTCGATAAAACTGCTTATAACGGGAGTGTATGCCGTATATTATTGAGACTGTTTCGACTGTTATCCATGAAAAGAAATCTAAGATAATTCTCAGTAATTCGTTGCTACCGAGTTGCTTAGTATACGATAGTTCTGTTTGCTCAGAAAGCCGTGCAATGTTTTCCTTTAGCAAGTCGAAAGCTCTCTCTTTCTAAACCTTTTTCCCGCTCTATGTCTCTCCTTCACTCGCTTTTTCTTTCTCCTCCCTATTTCTCTTTCTCACTACCTTTTTATCATCCCCCCACCATTCTCCACATCCTAATTAGCAGGATATTGTTTAGAGCCAATTTTTTTATTCAATATCACTTCCATTAGCGAGATGCAGTCAACCAAATTAAATCCCTTTACTTTGTTCTTCATATTCCGCTCAATCAGAATGCTAGCTAACGCATCGATTATTTTACATGAAAATTTTTAAAGAAGGGCTTTCGCAATTCCTGCGAAACTGCCATACTTAGTCGGCAGCGATTTCAAAGCAATGTAATTAATGTCAACGTGGTACTTTGACGTACATTCTGACTATAATGCTCTTAGTATTGCATCGTCACAGTAATACCTGCACTCTTTGTGTTACTCTTTGTGTTGGCACTCTCACTGCATTACTCTTAGTGCTGCACCCACGACATAATTAAGTGCAGCATTAAATCCACTCTAATGCTATGCTAGGTTCTCAGTGAAATATTACGATGCTATGTTCTCAGATGTATACAGTGATTCTACGCTTTCCTTGAAATATTCTAATGATAATTTCTCTGCGCAATATTCGGATGTCAATTTCTGACTGCAATACTCGAATTATGTATTCACAGCATAAACTATCTTATTATGGGTTTTTATGAAATACTCTCAAAGCTGTACTTCCAATGTCGCCCACAAATGCAATACAATAATTATTAACTGTGACCATTCATGCTACTTTCTGAAATCTCACATTCATAATTTTGAACAACAGCTATCATAAGAATGAAACATAATGTCATACCCACACAACACGCAGCTTCGGACCAAATAAATTATCTTTTAATTCCATAACATATCAGACTACACGTAGTATCTTTTGAACAAAATTTGAATTAAATAGCATATCAGACAACACGCAGTTTAATTACTATTAAATAAATTCTTTTTGGATACCTCACCATACCACACCACACCCTCCTCACCATACCACACCACACACCCTCCTCACCATACCACACCACACACCCTCCTCACCATGCCACACCACACACCCTCCTCACCATACCACACCACACACCCCCCTCACCATACCACACCACACACCCTCCTCACCATACCACACCACACACCCTCCTCACCATACCACACCACACACCTCACCATACCACACCACACACTCACCTCAGGACCAAGTGTGGCCTCCATGACGTAGAAATATGTGGTGCGGTGTGGTGCAGTCAGTCTGATGGCTGTGGTGATGCATGGTGCGACTAGTGATGAATCTTGCAGAGCCTCCATGGTGAGCTGACGTGTGGTGAGGGGAGGGTGGGCAGGGTGGGCCCAGTCAGTGTAGTGAGCGGTGATGGTGAGCAGTAATTCCTGATCAGTATACACTATTATATACTCACGTTTATATATATAGCTTCGTCTTAATGTAATAATGAATAATATTTTCAAAATAAGATGCAGGCTGATCTTTTATCTCTGCATAAACATGATACATAATCGTGGAAATAATTAAATCAGCAAAAGTTTATTCTACTAACTTTTTCATACATCAAAGTCATAAAAGTTTGATAAGCGCATCTGATTATGGACTCTTCGTGCAAACTACTTTGTGGAACTGCTTTATTAACTTGTTAATGCGTAGCGAAAACGCTGACAAACTTGTTTGTTTTGAGTGGCTACATTTGCTCACATTCTCAGAGAGCTTACTGCAATAATTTTCTGATGCACAGATTATTGTTATTATACAATATAAAATAATGCAATACAGTATGTAATAATATAAGAAAATATAATATAATATAATATAAAATAATATAATATAATATAATATAATATAATATAATATAATATAATATAATATAATATAATATAACATAATATAATATAATATAACATATTTAAAACATATAATTGCGTAAGCATTGATAAAGTCATGTTCCCGGTCGCCGATTCCTAACCACCCTGCCGGCTTCGACTAAATTTTCCACATCTAGTAGGAGGTTATGATCCCCCAACTCACTGCTTCATTCTTAGTATACTTTGCTCTGTCACACACCAACGTATAAGCTTTTGCATTTTGTAGAGTAAAATAGTGTCTCATAGATTTTGATACCTTCAAAGAGTTAAAAGTTTGAAGTAATCACTGAGGTAATTGATTGCTAAATGATTTTCAAATAGAGACCTGAAGATGGTAGTTGAAGGTATTTGTGACGTAGGTACGGAAGATCCTGTCTCGTACGTCTGTCGGGAAGCCGTTCACATACTGCGCCCTGTTGAAGATGTCGTACACGTCGTCCTCTGCCACGCCTATCAGGAGGTCTACGGGAGACCTGCCTTCTTCGCCTGAGAAAAATCAAAGGAATATCGAGTTTTGAATCAAAGTAATTTAATCAATTAGTAAATTAATCTAATCAATGAGCTATCCAATTGCGAAATACCTGTTCAGCATCGGATTATCTACTCTACCGGCCAGTTGAATCATTTAAACTCGGCAAAAATTTCAACAAATAACTTGGTTGTTGTTCAACAACGAAAAACAGTCTAAATTATTTTACTCGCGTTTTCCTGAATTACATTATGCAGCGTGAAACTCTCGTCTCGATGTTAACAATTCATCATTTTTTTCTGAGTAAATATCTTCGTAAACGCTATTTCATCACAACGTAAAATAATAAGTCATTGCGCTTTTATTTTGTGGTTGGAAACTACATCAAGCCTCGATCGAGCCCTTTTCTCAAGACGAAACTTCAAAACGTGGCGCAAAAAAAGTTGAGTGGCGATCAAAAATTGCGTTTCTAAGAAACGGTCAATTATCACGCCACCAATTTGAAATAAAAAAAAATAAGTAGAAAACATTTATCAGAATGATCGGATGGTTTTAGCGGTCGTGTCATACGTACCCAGTGCTTGGAAAATTCGATTCATTTAGCTTGCATAGCAAAGATCGCAGTGCACTTTTTGCAAAGTGTACTGCAATCTACGTATAACAACGCATTTCCGAACTTTTAGTTGCATTTCACCCATTGCGCTGCTTCGAAATGTGCAACACCGTGGACATGTTATTGCGCTTGGAAATATAACATTTTAGTTATAATTCTGTACAGGAAATGCACCTGAACAGTTAGGGTCCAAAACTTTTCCATTGCCGTGTCTAGCAGCCGTTACGCTCAGCCCTCACCGTTGAGTCTGCTAACAGAGATGGCAATCGATAGCCAAAGCCTTCTGTCTGGGAGTGATCAATGGCATGCAATGTGTTTGGAATAGGCGCTGCAGCTGACACTTTTTCCGGTTGTGTCGACAGATGTTAATTGCGACCTTTGAAATCAGAGCGCTGCAGCAAAAACCAAACTTTGAAGGTCAACATAAATCAAACAGTTTTGTTGGAATAAACAATGATCCATGCAAACCAAATTCTTTTCCACAATCCATTTTTAAAAAATTATTTTAAAATGAAATTTCATGGGCTCCGTCATTTACAAAAAAAAAGCCTATTTAATTTTATTTCTGTTTCTGAATAGCCGCTCAGAAAGCGGCACAATTTCCTGACGCTATTTACATCTATGATTATAAAAGAATAAATCAACTGAACGATTCAATCTTCAATTACTGAAGTATCAGGTTTCTAGGCTTGTCGTTCGGAGACTGGTCAAAAACGAGCAGTCGTACATTATAAAGATAATAATTAAAATATTTAATCACATAAGGAGCAAATGAACTTAAATTCGAGTTATAATAAAGTGTTGTCATCAACTACTAAAGAAGGTATAATTATATAAAAATTGGTTACAGATAATCGAAACGAAATTCAGAATATTCTGAAGCAAGGAATCGTGTCACAGAGATCTGTTTGATTGCATAACTTTCGGTCCGATTTTCTTCAGGCACAGAATTGCTAAATTAAAGCCCCTATTCCTTAGAACTTCAACCGTCCACAAAACAAAACGGTCTACCTGTGTTGCTGGGGTTTTCGCGGCCATTTTGTATCATTAAATTTTTGGTAGCCGTGTATTTTGAATATTATATCTTTAAATATTTGTGAAAATTATTGAGCTTGTTTGAAGCTTAGTGTCGTAAATACAAAGGGCTGAGCGAGTGCGTATCCAAGATATTTTTAATGTCATGAGTAATTATCACCTGGACCTGAAATTTTATCATCTGTAAGGAATAGTAACGAATTTCAAAATTTGGATTTTTAAATTGGTACGGATATATTTATTTTACAATCTCCATGTATTTTTTTCTTAATTTGAAACGAGTCTGAAATTGAACTTGAATGTTCGATGCAAAATCTAAGCTTGAACTAGTCTTTCGTTAATTAGCATACATCAGATGTCACGTGCTTTGGAATAACATGTTTCTCAAATTTAAGAGGTAATTTGTTAAGAATAACACAGTGTTAGCTTGGTAGTGATCTATAAATTAGAACAGCGGTTCGCGGGCCCACGCATGACGTTTGCAACAGGTTTTATTTCGTGCATAATTACTCAGATGAATTAATAATGTGGTTAGCAAGATTTACTGACGCAGCAATTTGTGTTAATTGCTCGTTATTTATATCCGTGAGGTGTTCCGTCATTTTCTAAAAGTTATAAGAAAAAATGATTAGCTTAATCAGTTTATTGTTCTTTGAGAACTAGATATTCAAAAATAATATCTTTCTAATAGCCGTTCATGCACGCTAAAGTAAAACCTCATGTTTCTAGTTAAAGGCTAATTTTTGCCCCTATTGGTGAGTATGGACGCATGTAATTATCAATCTTCTGAAGATCCAAAAGTGGAAAAAATATTTTTGCGTTTCAAATTTTGCTTGTATTAATGGGACGAGCCAGCACGGCACACAAGTTGAAGTCCCTTAGACGCACCGGCACAAATCTGCAAGTCAATGAGTCAAACCACATTCACCAGGCAAATGACGTTGAAACAACGTTTAATACACGCCAATTCATCTGTCAGACATTTAATTCAACGTTCGACGTGTGGTCGATTCAAAGAAACAACGTTTATTCAACGTCCGATGTCTGGGGGAAACCGTTACCGAAACAGCCGTTCTTAAAGGTGGTTGTGTTGTAGGGGAAAGGGAAAAACTATGTTTTCTTAGAATTTTTTTTATCCGACTAATATTTTTTAATATTTCTAATCAAAACATTTTCAGTGTACCCGCCAAGGCAATCAAAGCTAAAAAAATATGATCTACAGATTTGTCGATTCAATTTGTGTTTCGTTTAATTATTCTAACTCGTTTTATGGAGGTGAATTTTCTGGATTAATTTATATTATTAAATTAAAATTCGGAAGAATAAATGATCATTTCTTAAATGATATTGAAAAAATTGCAGTTAAAATATATGCGGTAAATGACTAATTCTAAATAATAAAAGACTGCAGTAAAATAATTTACAGCCACCCGAATACAAACACGCGTTCCGAACTCCTGTGGTCAAGCTTTTTTTTACCTAAGCAATATCTGAATAAGAAATAATTACTCCGACGTTTCAACTTCATCATCTTGCTCAACTTTTAAAAACTGATCACGATCACAAACGTGTAACTATTCCCAAAAACTCGCATTTGAAGGTAATTCAATCTTCCATATATCCAAATAAAACCAAGGTCATGAACAAATTTTTTAATACTTTTTTTATTCCTCCTGCTGCGTAGTCATTCGTTAGAACGATAATGATACTTCCGTTAATATCTAATATAAGAAGTCCTCGACTCTGAAGGTGAAGAATGCTTCAATATCTAGTCTACTGAACATGAGAACTTTCTTTAAATCTGATGAGGTTCTCATGTTCAGCTGACGAGTTTTACAAGGCTGTTATCGCTTGCTTTATTGAATTTTTAAGGCTTCGACCTGATATATTTAAATTTATATACACGTTTACATGTTCAATTTCAACTACTAACAAATTTATTTCGATTACTCTCCGGAAATACGTGGCATAGAAAATTGGTGACAAATCTACTGATTTTGTTCGGTGATTTCTTCGTAGTGACTGATTTGAAATTGTGGCGATTTTGACGCTTCTGAATAAGCAGACCATCTAGAAATGAACGAAAGATACGGAAGTGTGTCAAAAGATCATTTCCAAGTGATAGAAAACGTTTGTCTGCACTTGAATGATTGCATTAGACAGATAACCTGCAATAGAGGACCTGCGTATGACACCTATTCAAATTAGAGCAAATTATAAGCATGTAAAAAAAATTCTAAAACTCTCAATGAAAGTATTGATATTAAATTAAAAGTATTACAAAGCGTACTTTGTGAATGAAGATTCCAAAATTTATGCTCATATTCCGTTCATATCCGAAACAACTTTCATCTTTATGCAGCCAGTGTGAAATTAGCGGCCAATTGCTTCTCAGATATCTTTTAAAACACATGCAGAGGTCAGAGTCATTATTTTGCGGCATTTTTCAATTTTTAACTGTGTCCGTGGACCGATTTGGAAGCAACTTAGTGCAATGATTCATAGTGTACCACGGCAAACGGCGGATCATTAATATAATTGCGCTTTAAAGTATGTTATTACCATGTCTTTTGTGGTAGCCCTTGTCCTGCATAGCTCGATTAAAGCCTATATATAACATTTTTACTCAGAAGTCCAAAGAACAAGTGCTGAATTTTCCGTCATCAAAATAATTTTGTAACGAGTGGATCATACACTAAAAATATAACTCAGTACTCACTGCAGTGAGTGACAGAGAGCGCATTTTCTTGTCGTCGAAAACTTGAGGTCACGGACGGACGGACGGACAGACGGACAGACAGACGGACATGGCGAGCACAATAGTGCATTTTTTCCATAAATGAGAAAATGCGCTAAAAATATGTGTTTGGGCCTTAAATTTTATGAGCGTGTGGTCTGTGTCGTTTCTTCTGTTTATTAAATTATTTACCTTCACTGCTAAAACTGCAAATTCTGCATTTTGAATTCATATCCCCGTTACGCGGGAAACACGCATCCCCTTGTATCCCTGAGATATGGAATGTGTATCAAATTTATTAACATTTCCTGGCAATAAAAATATTATCGCCGAGAAAAAATAACAACATGAGAAAATTTGTCTTATAATAACGTGTATTAAGTGGAATTTCGCTGTTAAAATGCCGATAGTGATTCATTTCAAGCAAAAATCTTTTATTCATGCAATTGAAAATGCAGTTATTTCGACAATCATTCAGTGAAATTCATTGTGTTTGAAGATCCTTGTGTGGAGCGCGTAATCACCAGCAATCATGAGAGCAGAGCGCTGGCATATATTGCAGAGCTCTTATTTAAAACATTAGTTTTATGTTTGGCGAGCGTTAATAAATTCATAGGAATTTAGATTGGACGGATGGTAATTACTTGTGCTATGAACGCAACTGATGCCTTTGATTTTCCAGGCTGGCACTGCCGCGAAAAATTAATGCCAACATTGTGATAGGAAATAGATTTCGAAATGTGGTTACAGAGAATAAATCCTAGCAATCAAATTTTTACAATTGAGGTTTCTGAAAAGTTTATCTTTCTCGACTCGCGTTCAATGATAGGAAGGAAATGTTGTCATGGCAACGTTTATTGCAAGAAATTTTAAATAGACCTGATAAAACTGGCATGTAATCCTCAATTTAATGTTTCAATGAAAAAATCGCAAGTAAGCGATCTATTTCCTCCTGTCACATTTCACTCTTTGCACACAATGCTAGCGAGACATCAATTTTAACCTGACCCAAAGTCCATAAGAAGCTGAAAGCACCAGCAACATATAGCTTATTTAAGAACAACTGTCTTTACCAAGCAGAGAAAATAAGCAATTCATACCGTTCTTTTTGAGTCAGGGTGTGAACCCATCGTTAAATTCTCAGCCTCCACTGATCCGAAATTTCGTGCCATGATTTATAGGGTCGTTTTGATTTATAAAGGAACTCGCAAGGATTTATACGCGGGTGGGAATTTACTCGGTCGTATAAAACACGAATTCTGCCATCGACTGGCGCGCAAAAATGGATAGCAGGCGACAGCTGACTGCAATTACGGCCATGATTGACGATGCAAACGAAGTGAACGGTACGGCTGGTTGACTTCTCGACCTTATTGAAAATCTGAGGGAGCTATCCGAGGGAACTGTTCGACTAAAAACAGCAAGTATTAAATAAACGACAACTTTTAGGTTGCTTGTGAAAGAAAAGTGTTCATGAAATTTTGAAACTAAGAAGTATTCATAACTATCATTATGTAATTTCAGATTGACCAAGCAAAAATACGGTAAATCTAATTCAAGAGCAATTACTAAGAGGCCGCAAAAACCTGCAATTGTAGGGGGCGAATAAGGAATTTAATGTGTGCAATATGTAGTTTACCTAATATTTTAAAAGATACTTCTAAAATATAGTTAGATATATAAATTAAGAATATATATATATAGCTTCATAAATACATTATCAGCTGATAAACTGCATTTAGTGAAATTTCCCTAACTCACAAACACGGAAGCTGGAAGAAAAATCAAATGAAAATTAACGATATCAATGAGCAACAACTAACTTCGGCCGTTATTTGAAGAAAAAATTAGCAACTCACACGGAATGAAGTCAATTAATTGCCACTGAATGCCTAGAAACAACAACTCTAATTTATCGTCTAATTAAATGATTAACTTGGAACGTACTAATTTTGGCCAGTCGCTGCTTCCAGTCACTGGGGATGGTCACGCCGTCGATCGTCGGTCCCAGGGCGCTCAGGAACTGCGGACTTTCCAGTTGAACCTGTACACATTTCTCTATATTTAAATTCAGTGGTTAGAAACTTTGTTCAAATTAAATGATAACAAACATTTGTTAAATTAAATGGTTAGGAATGGCATTTGACTTACGATTATCACTGAACGACGCATGGTCTTTATCTCCGCATCATTTTCCGTGAATTACGTGAATTTCAAATTATTTTATACTGTCAATACCCATTAATTTTCAGGGAATATGCAACGAGGTAATTCATTTCATACAAAAACATTAATTCTGCGCTGTTTGACTCGAAAATTTCATTAATGTAAATGCTATAATCATGTGTAATTCTTTCAGTTTATTGTTCGCGTTAAATACTTTTCAGCAGTAAGAGTCACATGATTTCCAAGATCTAAAGCACTATTTCCAAGAAATTATTCACAACTCAAGTGTTAAGCCAAAAATTACGTTCCTGACGGCCATCTTCTCCGAAATAGTCAGGACCAAAAATACAGAGACTGCAGTCACTCCTGCTTCTCTGTTGAGTGCCGTAATTTCATCTGTCCTCTCTGCACTTCTTCAGCTTTTATCCCCAGCTCGCCTTTAGGATCTGAACGAGAGATCCGTCCCTGAGCCACGTGTATTACACGGAGGTCAAGGTGAAAGGTGCTCTTGGATGCGGTCGCATCATTATCTCAGTTAAGTGCCGTAATTTCATCAGTCCATGTTTCACTTTTCCAACTTTCATCGCTGGCTCTCTTCTAGCATCTATTCGAGAGTTCTATTCCCGAGGTACATGGAAAGCAAATTGTACGCGGCAAAATAGCAATGAGTACGGTGGGCTGATATCGCCAATGAATATTGATATCTGTACTTTTTTCAACTAATATCTCTCGCTTACTGTTAAAATCTGCATGTAATAAATGTAATGCTCGTCCAATCTGCAAGCAATAAATGTAATACTCGTTCAATCTGCCTGTTGAAGCGCAACTTTCCAATCTATATGTAGGAGTTAAAGACAGAGTTTACCGGAGCGAGTACAATTAATTGTGATCTATCTGCTGAGCTACTTGCATTTGAAAGACCTCCAGTAATTTGGTAATACTTGATTGTTCATTGCTTTATTCAAAGATGATTTACTTCCTATGTTAATATTGTCAGTACATATATTTTTTATTTATTTCTTCTACTATACCCGTATGATGATTTACAGAAACCGGTCTAAAATCAACACGAAAAGTCGTATTTCTTTACTTTCGAGCACGATTTACAGAATCGAAAACGAGAATCTTTACCTTTAGCATCTGGTTTAGGGTTCTGTTCCTGAGGCGCATGTACAGCAAATTGTGTCGAAATTCCCACAGCGGCTATCCAACATCCATAACAAAGTACTGAATTCTATCAGTTCGTTCCCGTTGATATTCCAGACTCACCTTCAGGATCTGGTCCAGAGTCCTGTTCCTGAGGCACATGTAGAGAAGGTCGTGGCGGAAGGATCGCTGTGTGAGGCCACAGTTGAGCTGCCGTCCCACCTCTTCAGCGAAGTGCCTGGGACTGGCCACCACCGACCACGGGCTCAGCGCCGTGCCTGACATCAGAATGGCTCGCTGGAACAGCTTCGCTGCTCGGACAAATTCGATTACATAGAAATTTTTTTGCATGATACCTACGTGAGTGTATAAAATGCTCAAGTTAATACTCGAGTAAAAAATAAATAAAAGATTGTCGTATTCCCTAAATTAATATTTGTGCATAGTTATCAAGATAAATTCATGTGTTGGCATAATGTATACTTACAAAATACTTATAATGAACATATGAATAGTATGCAAGCTGACTTAATATCATTTCCAACGCCAAATATCCAGTATAATCGACCGCGAAACGTTAAAATGAACTTATATTACATCACTGGGCAATAAATTTATATCATTATTATCACCTCCATATTAAAACTTATGCCTTTGGTGATAGCATGTGAATTTCTGATTAATACGGCGAGCTAATTATGATGGTGCATGCATGAAATATATTAAACAAGGTACATGCTCATATTTTCATGTTTTACAAGAGTTAAAGATGCTATATTTGAAAAATGTTTTGCCAATCTAATATTTCCCTACCGTAAATAATATTTTTTTGAAAATATTTGCTCAAATTTATGAATTCTTAACATCTCCAGTGAATCTCAAAATGTTTTAATAATTATAGACGACGATAAAAGTTCCCGGTTACAGCATAACGAAAGCATTTACGTTTTTTGGACGTTAAGTGATGTAAAAAGTCAAGGGGTTTACGATATTGCATTCAGATAAAAAAATTTTGCGCTATATCTAAAATTTTTTTTTCGCAGGCAGCATAGAATTATGCAGGAATTAAAATTTCTGGAACCATTACGAGAAAGTATGGAAAATTATATGATAAATTTCTCCGTATGTATTTTTCAAGATTTTGCTTGGTATTGGAGTAAGGCGCAGATTCCATAAAAAGTAGCCACCACGCTAAAGGAAATTGAAATATTTTCTAATTTATTACGTAACTTTGAAACACGAGGAAAGCGATCAAGATGCTAGTTTATTTAATTTCGTCAAGCAACTTGAAAATAATTGAATTTTGGTAACTATTTATTATTTATAATAAAAAGTTACCATAAATACCATAATAAATATAATGACCATATTTGGTAACTTGTCCGCTTAAAGGTTAAATTTTATGTGCACTAGAAGAAATTCTATCAAATTAGTTTTTATTTGTATTTTATTTATTGAAACGTATTTAAGTTACCTAAGTGTATGTACAGTAATATACACACACTCGTTATTAATTATGTGTATAACACTTAAGTATTTTTTTCATAGCCCGAGCTTTTTTTGTATTGATTTATTTAATTATTACATAAATTGAGAAAATCCACACGATACTTAAATGTTTTGAGCACTATCCGTAGATTTCACTGTGCCTACGAATCTCTTATATTTTGACGAACAAAAAATAACATGAGCTTCAACAAAATTTGTCAGATATAATAATCTATATTTAAAAGCGAAAGGAATCAAGCAGCTCACTGACAAAACAAACTTCGTATGTAGGAAGAAATCGTATTAAGTGAAATAATTGAAAATCAATGGAAAGACAGTAAAATTCAATTTATTTCGTTTGCAAATATGCAAAAATAAACTATCATTAATAATTCTAGTTATTTAACAGATCATAAATTATCGTGCGTTTAACTCTGATCTATAATCAAAATACTTAGGCTGCATTTTATTCAGCTAATCAATTCGTGCTTCAAAGTAACAGATCAACCTTACCGCTAACATAAATTTTTTAGCACCAAGCCTTTTAATTTGGAGCCCAAAAAATTTCTAAAATATAATTGGAATTTCACATTCAAATTCTAATGACAAATGTACTGTTGACTTTTCCGATTAATTTGGCCAGTAAAGGACAAACAGATAATTGTATGTTGACGCACGATTATATTATGAATAATAATCTTACCAATACAAATTCCCACAGGAGACAAACTTGTTCATTAATATGAATTATTTATCAGTGCACAAGAACCCTTCGTTCCTAACTGGCAGGCGATGTCGGAAAAACTCTTAAAAATGCAGCGACAAATTCATATTTAATTGGTATGAACAAATTTCCACGAGTTTTAAAAACTTTAGTGGCATTTAAATATCGCACATTAAATATATGATCGCTCAATAATCGATATATAAATTTTAGATAAATTCAGCAATAAATTTAGCGCTTACATTTAAATAATTTTTTATCAAGAAGAACAATCATCATGCATTTTTATAGCGGAACTTATTGATATTAATCACAAGATTAAATAAAAATTCATTCTACGGTAACTTTTAATATATCATATGAATTATTTATTTGGGGCCTGTAATTATTAATAATGCTAAAAATTGTCCATTTGAGAAAATCAAGTTTTCCACCGATACAAGACAACTGCACGTATCGTTGGTAATGAGTTGCACATGCAGCTCTATTGATTTTAATTTCTCTTTTTACTGGAAAAATTATCTATCCTAGCCAAAGCCGTGATTAAATTGTCCATATTTATTCAGAAATATGTTAGAAACGCCGCGGTCTCTTTGAGACCGATCAAGACGCGGAAACTAGTTTGTTAGTACTTCTAAACCGGTCAAAATTATTGTAAATTACCGCTATTCTCTTCAACCTGGATTTAGTTAAAGGATTTACTAATCAGAGATTTGTCAAAACTTTGAAGACAATTCAAAACGCCGTTTCAGTTTAGGTCACTGGTATAACTGCGGCAATCTAGTCTCCCTGCATCAGATCGTCCTCATAACTGGCAAGTTGATCCCTCCGAAGCAATTAGTGGAGCGCAAGGCTAACTTGTGCCCACGCAATGTTCAGACGTGTTCAGTGAGTTTGTGCAGGAATTGCCCAAGACAACTTCAAGTTTGGTTACATTCATTGCAAGCTTGCATATTCAGAGACAATATTGAGGATCGCTGCAATAGATCAACCTATGGGAGCCAATGATTCAAACCTAAATATTAACCGTGACCATACAAATAATAACATGTTTACCGCATAAATTGAGCAGAATAATTGGAAAATATCGTTCTGATAGCTACTAAAATATTTAACTAATGACGAAACAAGCTGACGAAAGGACGAATTCAAATGAAATAATTTTGTGATCAACTAAATTGAAGGCGGATGCTCGTTTAGAACAAAACCCTTTTCAAAAGTTCACTCAGCATACGCTTAATTCAACGAGTTGGATCGTTTGGACAGAAAACCACGAGTGTGTTTCGATCAGGTAGGGAACTTGAGCCTCATGTTAATTCAGCTCCAACTTTAGTCACAAGAAAGACGTCGAGATTGTAGGGAGAAAAACACACAATTACGGGAACTAGAATCTCTAGATTGCGTAAGATTTCCGAGCAAAGTTTGGTCCAAGTAAGACGTTTTTGTGTCACAGACACTTGGAAGGTTTCTTAGCTAAAGACGTTCCCATAATTGAATGCAAGGCTCCAAACTTACCGAGCAAAAGACACTTCAGGGAATAAATTGAGAGACTTGCCTGGTGTTGGCAAAAGCAGTCGCATTCGCTCTGATTTACGAAATTTAGTATCCGACCACCCAGAGAAACTTAATTTCTGTTGTTACAGTTTTTATTTCGAAACCATTAATAGGAATCGGTAGTTTAATGCGTCCGTAGAAGTTCCCTCCATAAAAGAGTACGATGGCGGCAATTCTCACAGATGAGGAACTTAGAATTTTTCTTTTTCTCTTGAATCTCAATAGTTGACAGAATGCACACAATTCCGAGTCCACGATTCTAAATTGCCTTGAATTCGGGGCTAATATTTCCTGTGTTATAAACTCGGCATGATTACCGGGCTAGACTTAATACGTAGCACCGTACGTGCACGCAACTGAAGCTTCAGGTTTACTGATCTTACTTTAAAGGGAAACCAAGCTTTGTGACAGCCCACCCTTGAGCCGCACAGGCTTATCTTTCAGGCGTCGCTGACTCCACGCTTGCCAAGACAAGACTTAGGGTCGCATGGAATAATTCATTACGAACCAAATGCGGCGGCAGATGCGGCTTTGGGGAGACACGCGAGATGGATGCAGATCACAGACCAGGGTGCCTTCCTTGTAATTTTGTTTCTTGCACCGACCAACGAAACTAACCTTGGCCGTATGTGTAATATAATTTCATAATCATGAATGTAACCACTAGTGCATAAAAGTAATATAATTTGTATAATGAAGGTTGTGTAGAACGAAAACTTATCTTGACTGGGGAGACGAAGATAAAGACAATGCAGGTCACGCACATGCATTGGCAGGGGAGATGTCTACTGTAGGATGGCTATGCAGGCCACATACCTGCATTGGCAGGGGATATGTCTACTGTCGGATGGCTATGCAGGCCACATACCTGCATTGGCAGGGGAGATGTCTACTGTAGGATGGCTATACATGCCACATACCTGCATTGGCAGGGGAGATGTCTACTGTAGGATGGCTATACAGGCCACATACCTGCATTGGCAGGGGAGATGTCTACTGTAGGATGGCTATACAGGCCACATACCTGCATTGGTAAGAGATATGACGAAGAAGGCTATGAGGCCACATACCTGTATTGAATAGGGAAATTACTAGGAAGGCATGGCAGGTCGCGTACTACATTGGCAGGGGAGATGACTAGGACAATGCAGGCCACACACAATCATTGGCAGTTAAAATGATTAAGAAGGCTATGAGGCCACATACCTGCATTGGCAGGGGAGATGACAAGGAAGGCTATGCAGGCCACTACCTGCATTGGCAGGGGAGATGACTAGGAGGGCTATGGAGGCCACATGCCTGCATTGGCAGGGGAAACGACTAGGAAGGCTATGCAAGCCACATGCCTGCATTGGCAGGGGAAACGACTAGGAAGGCTATGCAAGCCACATGCCTGCATTGGCAGGGGAGATGACTAGGAAGGCTATGCAGGCCACATACCTGCATTGGCAGGGGAGATGACGAGGAAGGCTATGCAGGCCGCCGCTCTGCCCCGGCCCATGACTGTAACGTTGTTTGGGTCGCCGCCGAATCGCGCAATGTTCTCCTGCACCCACTGGAGGGCGGCGATCTGGTCGAGCAGGCCGTAGTTCACCACCGTGTTGTGCTTTTGACCTTCGCGTAACGGGTTCAGGAAACCTGCAACATTAGTTACCAACGTTTAGGCCTTAACGAAAAAATACCGAGCGAGAATAATTTGCCACATTTTATCTTTTTTTCTTTTTCTTCATGATATTCATTGAAACTGGAAAATAAATTAGGCACATATATGCCCTAAAGAAAAATATGAGTACAAGTTGTCACTTTTTCCAATCGACTATTAGTTCAAAAAACTTGGATAGCAATTAGCCGGATTTATTCCATCAAGAAAAATACGTGTTAAAGTTGTTACATTTTCTGTGTGGCCTTACAAGTTAAGGAGTCAAATTCAAGGCCCAAATGAACAATAACAATTGTTTTGTAATTTAATTTTGCGCATCAACTTTTGAAAGATTGGGAGGACGAAAAAACGATGTAGAACGCATTCACTAATTTATCAAATATTTTCGCAACCTTTGTGAACTTTTCTGTTGCAGAACGAAGGCAGGGGAGTCTAGCTTGAAATTTATAGGCCCATGTGTGTGTTTTTTCCAAAATGTTCAGACAATCTGGAAGGTTTCCTGTGTTTCCAAGCCATGTTTCGATTTATTGAAAATTTTTATTCATTAAAACTATTGAGGTGCATATAAATTAAGGAACAAATTACCGACTCAGACCTCACATGGTTCATTAGGCAGGCCTCGAGAGTATATTCTACGGTAATAGCGAGGGTATGGGAGAATTTACCATTTTATTCATCATTAGTAAAAATTGCTTCCGCTCATGGGAGAAAGAAAATCCTTTCCAGCGTTTTTGGATAAATAGATTCGCGCTAACAAGGGCCCCACAGAAGCCTTAATGAGGTGTCAGAACTTTGAAAGGGTGGAGGTTGAAAGCGTTGCTCCATTTCTCCCTGATTAAACCGACGCTTCGAAGTTACGAGCTGAAAATGAGGACGTGGTTGGAATTAATGCGCCCCAGCTGACACAACAGTTTCGCGATCACAGACAAATTATACGCAACTTTTCATAATCTAAATCTCTTGGAAGCAATTATTATGCTTCCAATATATTTTAGTTGACTGGAGACATGCATTTTTCAAAACAGGCCTATGCTTAGGAATTTAGATAGATACTCCTTGATGAGGAATTGATGTATCATCAAAGATTGCAGGTATGGTGAGTTATAAATTGCTACATCATATAACCATTGTCGTCTTATATAGAAATATACAAGTCCAGCTGCACCGTGCTCATCTAATGTTTGTATCACTTTGTATAAACCAGTCGTTGAATCATAAATGTAAGTTAAATTAGAAAAAAGAAGCAAATCCGTTGTTGGAAAATGAATTCCTGCTAATTTAACTCCTTCCGCTAATTGACGCCCATTGTAACATTTCGTTGAAACATATTAATTTAACAACACACGATGGTCAATAATTACAGACGCAGAAGATTTTCCACTGGCCGCAAAATGTTTGTTATTTTCTTGAAAATAGCACCGCTACTTTCCATTTATCATTTATGTTATTTTTCTATTTGTTTAGTTGCTATTATTTTTCGCCAGGATTTTCTACGTTAATTGATATTTTTATACTTTTTATAGAAATAGGTGGTGCCAATTGCATATTAACTTGTTCCTCAGGATTGTTATTTTCAGGAACAAATACACAAAAGTAATCATTTATGAAAGATCAGCGACCAAAAAATGCCCTCATTAGCCAATTTAAATTCACTATTCAAGCCCAAAAATTAGAATGCGGACATCGTTATTGCATAATTTGTCAGAAGAACATGTAATTTAGCAAATATTTTATTGCATGTAGAGTACTGTTTGCTGCCATCCAGCAGGGTATTAATAGTTCAACTATATCTATTTAATTACTATTTACTATTACTACTAATTAAATTTAAAATTATAGTCTTTCTTAGTTCATAATAGAGCAGCAATACATTTGGTGATCTGGCAATAAACCGTTTAGTTTAGTAAATGAGTATAGAAATATTTAGATTCGAGTAAGAAAAACCATGTTTCAATCAAAATGAACTGTTGATATTGTGAGATTTTTTATTCAGTTTCCTTTTTTCACGGTGAAATTTCAGAGCTTCCAATGTTTTTCATATACATATTTGCTTCAGATGGAAAATTCGCAAATGTGGAAAATTAATATCAGTTGGTTAGAATAAACGTATTGTTTTGCAATTCCATTGGGAGTCATTTCACGTTGTTGTATATGTCATGCCGACATCGTGGAATTGCCTATTTTATTGAATCGGCAGCCATTTGCAATATCTGTGGAATCAGCATTTCGTTGCTGATTCAGAAAATCGGACGTTAGAGTTAGAACATTAATCGACAGTTAGAGTAAGAAAGGGTTAGGTCAAGTTCCTCTATATTTAAGCATTTTAAAAAATGCCCGACTGACCTTACCCTAGATTCCTAAAGAATGGAAATGCTGATTCTACAGATTCGGCAAACTGGCAGACTATTCCATGGAATCGGCAATTCCGCGATTTCTGCACGACATATATATCATGTTTGTTTCCAGCAATCAAATGTACCCAAGATTTCATTTCATCCTCCTGTACACTTGGAAACAAACACAGAATATTTCGGTGGGATTTACTGACATTAAATTCAGGAATTAAAGTAAAGCATTATAGCCAGCTTCCTAACAACCATCAGTGATCCATATTACAGAAATATCCTCCAGATTTCTCATCAACGGCGAGTTTCTAAACCCCTTCTTCTCACTCTTTGATCTCGAAAAGCCCACCAAAATGAGAGGCAAAAAGTTACTGATAATATCAGCTCGCTGTAACTAAGATGGGACATTTTCTTCCCTAAAGAAGTGTAGTTACGATTGGTTATAATGTAAAAGCAAAAAAAATCCTGTACTCCAAAGACTATCCCGAAAACTGAATAAAAACTTTGTTTTGAAAATATTATTGCCAAGATATTGAGTTTAAAACTGTTAATTATTAATTTGAATATATTTCGAAATGCGTTGATAACTATTGCGAGTTGTTAAAATGAAATGAATTAAAATAAAAATGGGTGATGAATGAATCGTAAATGCTAAACCATAACCCGAAAAAGGTGAAATTTTCACAAAAAATCTACTCTATAATGAATTTAGGAGTTTATTCCTATATTCATGAACAAACATGATTTTCACTCTAACACACTTCTGCTCCAAGTCTAAGACCAGTCGGTGCTCTGAACCGGTTTGCAAATTTAAGTAAAAAATTAAATTTTCCAGTAGGCGACATCCAGATGCAAATTTTTAAAACAGTAATGCAGATATAAAGAAACATTTATTAAACATTCTGCACCACCTGCCTTTAAATAATGTGTCCATGAAAGCTGCTTGTTCTTTTGAAAATCGCTGCAATATTTATTGTCTTCTTCATCTCCGACGCAAAAATTTTAGTCCTACCGAGATGTATCTCAACTATCATCAAAACTTTGTCGTGTCAAATATTTCAAAAATTAATAATTCCAACGAGCTGCTATCAGGCATTAACTAAGTTGGGCAAGAAGTCAGAAGGCTAAGTTGTTCTCGAACTTTTCTTGCTTGGTAAAAGTAGTCACTAAACTACAGAATATTTTAACACAACAACTTGGTTTGCTGCAGAGCTTGTGAATTATTCTGCATTGAAAACAAAAACAGTACAAGAAAAACCCTGCGAGCTGCTAGGCCGCATTATTATTTGGAAGGCAGCTTCGGCAATGGCAGTGCGACAGTTCATAGAATATCAAACACTGTTTATGGGAAGTAAATTTTTGCAATTGGTTTTCATGGTTAAACCTTTAGCATGGTCTAACCCTAAAACCACATAGATAAACATCGTCAGCGATCCCGCCTCGTCCATACGATTGCAGATTCAATAACTCACTCTAGCTTCGAAGCTGCGGTTGACTTTTTACTATTATTGGCAAAAATCAGTCACAAGTGATTATTTTTTCTGTATCAGCCCTGAAAGAGTTTGCGTACCACCTGGAATTCCCTTGAGCGAATTTGATGGTGCACGTATTACTATTTTATAACCCCTGGTATAGAAATTACGACTGTTTACACTACCTGGTATATTATGCATATTATATACCAAAAAATATACTCTTTGAGACTGTTTGCGTCTCTCTAGAGCTTTATTTATTGAAACTTTTATCGGTGACCTTTTTTTATCTGGAAACTCCGAGGAACTCCAAGAATCTCCGGCGAAGCATTCCTCCAATACGTTCCTCATACGACAAAACCCTTTCAACCTCAAGACACCAAAGGTTATAGAAGCACCGCGCTTGGAGTAGCTCATTGCGGCACCGCAGGCACAAGTTACTGTAACACAAATGACCCTACATAGCTCAGCTTTGGCAGGCTTTTAAGCCTTGCTCTTCTATAGTGGAAGTCCAATGTGCGTAAATGCACACAATAGCTTCGAGAGGACAGCGCTGCAAAACGGGGTAAAATGCACGGCATTTTGGCCTGTGAAATGCAGATACTTAAAGTGGCTGTGATGCCACAACTTGCCAACCAAGAAAGTGCTCTGTGCGAGAGCTAAATTTCAAACTGAAAATACTGTATGAAGAAATCTTTACATATGACAAAGTATATATCTTTACGTGAATTTCAATGAAGATAAGATTATTCCAAAGTGAAATAAACAGCGCAGTTGGGAGCGGTGAGAATTTTGATTATTTCATGTACTGGTTTCATTATTATCTTGATTGTGAAAATTTTCATTTCACTGTGAAAAAAATTTGCACTGAATAAAAATTGGGGGATTGTAACCAAATTTCAAATCGTGAATAAAATTTCACACCTCTCCTTATTTCTATCCTTGAATAAAGACTGTTCAAACAAAACTTGTCCACGAATACCAAAAATCTTAATCTTGCAGAGTAGACAATCCTTCCAGTGGTGAACAATATTAGTGACCTCAAAAAATCTCAAATCCTAATTTTGAGCACTGCTCTGCGTCGAAAGTTGGCTAAGCTGTCCAATTCTGCCGCAAGATTGGCGCTTTCGCTTCATTTCTGGAGAAAAAATTCGTCATCCGGACGTGCTTTCACCGGTAGATTGAGCTCCATTGGCGTGCAAAAAACACGCGTTATTTCTTCGAGCCTTTCTCCTCAAGAATTTAAATTTGGCCTGAGAAGACTTGCAACGGCGATGTCCCACAAAAGTTCAATATCTCCTTAGCTTTAAAGATCAAAATATATATGTACTTCACCTCAACTATTTCCTAATAGAAGTTTTGAAAATTTTTATTCTTCCTTTCATCTAATTATGGTTACATGGAAAAGGCCAAAATGGATAATCTAATCGACTTGCTACTCAATATTAACACTGCGTGATGCGCGTCATTTCGCTCAGCAGCCTGCATTACAAGGCATATAAAAACAACTCGTTTAAAGTCGAGTATTAAATTAGTCTTGTATTTTTTATTCGAAATCAGTCTGTTGATGCCTTAAGTTCCCATTCCCTGGAACTGATTGGAACGTTCCTGTTCATTCCCATTACTGTCTTTTTTATTTTTTATAACTTACTATGTAAATTATATCAGCTGGGCAATTAAATAAAGTTGTTTTCTTGAGTTTGGATGGGATGATGGAGTTGGCGCCGGAACGCTTTCGCTGAAATTATTTGAATACATTTGTCATTTCCTTTGACAATAAATTTTGAATTTAAGCAATCACATTACCTTAAAACTTATACACTTCTTTGGCTTTGTAAAAACAGATACAATTTGTTTTCAAATTCCACCAAATTATTTTCACTTTTCTGCACTTTACGCCTCGTAATTATTTTTAGCCCTTAAATATTATATAAGTTGTCAGTTTACAAATCGTCAAATAAAAATGTCATTTAGATTAACAATTCCTCGCCATAATGATGGTTCTACCAGTACTTGCTCTAGTACTTAGCACCAAAATGTTTCTCTATCTCATTTTTGCGCATCGTCGTCATTTCCTTGATTTTCATCTGGCATCATTTGCTCGGGGCTTCATTTCCCGCGGTCACACACTAGCGAATGCATCCATTAGCATTCCTTGTTTTTTAATCCTGAGCTTTTCACCGCCTCTGGTTGTAGAGGCATGCAATATACGTATAAATAAACACGAAATTGAGCTCTATACTAGGAGATTGCCAAAGTAATCTCAGTCGTCAGATAAAATCAGATCTCTAGCATTTCGCACATCGGACACGACTTTACCTTCGACATTTTGTTTGCTTTCTTTGCGTGTAGCCAAAACGTCACGGATATTTCAAAAAAATAATCGATTTACTTAACTTTGACCAAACGAAAATAACTTTTAAATATACAGAAGGCTATTCAAACGATCTAATTCTAGAACGAAATTTGAAAAATCGAAAAGTCCTTTCAATAAAAAATGCGTCCCATGAAATTGGTGAACCGTTGAAATAGGTGAACTTTACATGCGCAACTCTCGTGCATCATCCAATAATTTTTACAACTTGTTGAAAATGTATCCCTAAACTTTTCGGAGCGATTCAAACAGCTTGAAAATTTTTAGAACATTCAATAAAGTGCATAGGAACAGGATAAACGTCTTCCGAGCACGAGCAAGAGATCGAGCGCCCAGTGCGGAAAGGAAGACCGTCCCGGCGAAGGAAGCGTTCGGTAGCGGCAGTTCATTTGCACGAATAGCGGAACTTGGACCGTAATTTCAGCTGAAAATTTTTTTTTTTCAAGAAGAGCCATGCGGTGAAGAGCTCCGTAGCACGGATGCGATGAGCTTCGTAAAGTAGATCTTCTAGGCCTGATTGTGGAGAATAATTTCCACATTGAGAACTTGCAATTCTACTTGAAGTACCGTTTACTGATGAAGGGAATGTTCTTATTAATCATACATCATTCATAACTTACTTTTCTGACAATTATAATTTTAGGTCATTAGAGGCAAAATAAAATTGAACCTAGTAATTTTGGGAATAAAAGTTCTGGGAACGATCGGAAAGTTTTTCTTCATTTTCTGGTTTTTGAGCTTCACTAGATGATGCATTTCTTATAGTTTCTTGTCGAAGATAATATCTTATGATTCTGCTTTTTGTTGGTTTCTTTTTGCCTAAAAATTTTAACATTCTCATCAACTATCACTTATTAGAATATCTATTGATTTTAGATATCACATGTCTCCTATTTGGACATAATATGGACCTAACAAATTATTTAAACAACAACGAGAACAATAGTTTTATTTATTAGCTTATATCAAATTTATCTTTATAACTAATTTATCCCTTATATCTAAAACTTAAATTTTAATAGCGATGTTAGTTTTAGTTATGTCATATAAAAATCACCATACCTTCTTACAATTTCATCGTCTTCTTACAATGTCATCGTCTCATCACGCTTTTAGTTATTTAAAGCTGAAACATTTCTCTCGATTATCCTGATTAATAATCCGGCTATTCAACGCTGGCTTTTCTCAGCGTCAAGGCTCTCCCGAAGCAGTTTTCTACAGCTCCATCTTCATATCCTTTCTGGTAGCGCATTCTGTACGCTTCATTTATCACTGCAAAATAACTACCTCTGTAAATCAGAGAGAAAAATGCTCGACTTCACGTCGACGCTGTAAAAATATCTTAAAAACTCTCGGGTGAGCTCCGCCCGTTTTCGTGAACCGTGTATAATTTATTCCGCTATGCATTACTCGTTGAATATGATTAGCAGCTCGAGCTTAGACTTATCGCCACCTGCCAGACTCCTGCTGGCCTTCAGCATAACAGGAATGGTCTCGAGCGATTTTAATTTTGTTAAGCCATGCATTTCTTAAAGTACATGAATCCTCAGTTAAGCCATGCATTGTTAAGTAAATAAATTTATTTCTGATGCTGCGACAAGGACATTCTGAAAGTCTGACAATAATGCTTGCCTGCTGAAGGTCTGACATTATGTTCTGACAGTCTGACAATGAGGCTAAAGTTCTGACAGTCTGACATTGATGCTGATGCAAAGGTTAACCCAAAGAAATAATTCATCCATACAAACGAATGCGCAATTTTATTTTATTTCGACAACCCCTGCCAACCCTTAGAAAATAAATATTCCCATGGAGATTCTGGTTTATTCGATGAGTATGAATAATTCATCTTGCCATGCAACAGGTACGGCCTCTTTGAGGAATGTAAATGGAAGGCGAAGTGGAATATTATCCCGATGATTGATAAGTTGATGCATATCCTTGGTTCATTTATTTTCTTACTATTGTTCATTACAAATATTCGTGAATTTCTAGTAGCCGAAATATGATTAATAGTAGTATTCAAATCTCGTGTATCTCCTGTACTTCACAACCGTGACTTCACTGGCAATTGATATAGAAACAAATTCGACCATTTCGGTCTTTCCTTGCCAACAAGACGTAGAATGTTTATCGATATAATTTTTGATTTACTTTTTGCAGAGATAACAAATCATTGCATGCGATTAAATATTATTATGTATATTAGTTAATCTGACCTTTGTTATAATTTCACACATCTTGTAATCTGTCTTATATTTTTTATTATGTATAAAGTAATCATAAATTGGACATTTACATCTTTACTGTAACACAACAGTTTTTTTAACTTTATTATTGTAATTTATACATCGGCATTTGTAAATCTATGAGTATTCAATTTTTAATTACAAGACCAAGGGATATTTCGATATCATTAATATCAACTTTAAATCCAGTTCCTTTCTCACCCAGTTTCAATATCAATATCAGATTCATTCCTTATTTATTTCTTGCCTACAATCAATATACCCTATTTATTTCTCATCTAAAACTCTTCAATTTCTCACCTAGAATCAATAAAAAATTCATTTTTTCACCCAGTATCAATAATCATTTCTCACACATAATCAAAAAGAATATCATTTATAGCCCAGAATCAATAGATATTCAGGATTTCCCACCTGATATCAGTATTGGCTATTCGTTCCCCACCCAATATCAGTATTGGCTATTCATTTCTGTCCCAATATCAGTATTGGCTATTCATTTTCCACCCAGTAACAGTATTGGCTATTCATTTCCCACTCGGTATAAGTATTGGCTATTCATTTCCCACCCAGCATCAGTATTGGCTATTCATTTCTCTCCCCATATCGGTATGGCTATTCATTTCCCACCCAATATGAGTACCAATACACATTAATTTCCCAACCAGTATCAGTATTGGCTATTCATTTCTCTCCCAATATCAGTATTGGCTATTCATTTCTCTCCCAATATCAGTATTGGCTACTCATTTCTCTCCCAATATCAGTATTGGCAATTCATTTCTCTCTAAAATCAGTATTGGTTATTCATTTTTCTCCCAATATCAGTATTGGTCATTAATTTCTCTACCAATATCAGAATTGGCTATTCATTTCCCACCCAATATCAGTATTGGTTATTCATTTCTCACCCAATATCAGTATTGCCTATTCATTTCCCACCCAGTATCAGTATTGGCTTTTCATTCCTCTCCCAATATGAGTACCAATACACATTAATTTCCCACCCAGTATCAGTATTGGCTATTCATTTCTCTCCCAATATCAGTATTGGCTATTCATTTCTCACCCAATCCCAGGACCAATACACATTAATTTCCCACCCAGTATGCCGAGCCTGTAGTTGAAGGTGACGACCAAGAAGCGTCCTCGCGCGGCCAGCAGCGATGCGTCGTACAGGCTTGCCGCCCCCCACTCGTATGACTCCCCGGGCACCACCACCAGCACCGGCGCTGCCTTCACTCCAACTGCACAACATGAGATATTCAAACGTAAATAACATGAATAATTCAAACATAAACAACATGATTAATTCAAACATAAACAGCGTAACTAATTCAAACATAAACGACCTGAAAAATTCAAATATTGACAACATTACTAATTCAAACATAAACAACATGATAAATATTAACATAAACAATATGACTAATTCAGATATAGACTACATGACAAATTCAATCATAAACAAAATGACAAATTCAGATATGAATAACATAACAAATTAAAACATAGGCTACATGACAATTTCAAACACAGACAACATGATAAATTCAAACATAAACAATGAATTCAATTATATTTGAATTCAAATTCATATATAAGCAACATGATAATTTTCAACATAAATAATATTTCTTCAAGTTTCACTACAGCTACAAAAAGATCAAAAGATACTAAGAAAATTTCCCTCCAGAAACAGTCGCATATCAATCAAAGTTAGCTTAAAATCGAAAAAAAATTTAATTAAGAAACATTAAAGCGATTTCGAATGAAATATCAAACTTCGATTAAATTCAATTTCAACTTAAATTTCACTAAAAGTGGCACTAAATTTACTGGATTATACTTATAAACCTGTATATGCCCAGCAATAATAGAAAATTCTCTATAGTTGATTAAATTTGTGAATAACCTAAAAGTCTATAAAATAGTCGGTTTCAATTTTTTCGCGTCATGAATCTGAGTGACATTTTCTAGTGGTCTATAAAATAACAACAACCTGAACTGAACTCGACTATTTTCCTTAAATACTTATTTTGAGGAAAAATAAAGATTTAGTGCTTGATAAATTCAATGAAACGAAAAATTCGTTGTCATCTTTCATAACAGCGGCCCATCCACGCATGACTTGGCTGCATCAAAGGACATTATATTCGACTCTTCACGGACGTTAAAAAAACAACCGCATCCTTTGACCTAAAGGCTTGATCACGTTCTAGTTGCAGACAAAGCGGTGGTTTTGAAGTTATCATCAATGAATACAATAATCATCCATGGAGCGGCTCGTCAAGAAAAATCTACATTCGAAACTTAATTTTTTTTGCAAGTGACAAGCAACAGCATCTTGCATCAGCTGGCCCAAAGGAGGGCAAATAGACGGAACACGTCCAACGTTACATCCGGGACCCGAGGGCGGGGTGACCTGCCTAGCGACGACTCGGAGACGGAGGACGACGAAGGCGGAGCATCAGCTTGACCATGTACTGAGAAGTTCTATACTCATCATATGGTCATAAGGTCTTTCTGAAATTGTGCTCTAACAGCTTTAAAAGCTTCTCGTTTTGGGACTGAAAATGGCTGCTTTTATTTGCTCTTCAACCAGGAAATAACTTTTGTTTTCCATGAATCGAAAGACTCCTTCCCTTCAGCAAGTAGAAGGAATTTATGAGAATAAAAACTTAGAACGGGATTAAAATTATAACGTAGGTCGTTGAATCAATGTTCACTCACGATAGAATCGGGAATCTGATGGATCAATGGTATCATCAACATCCATCTGCATTACAGGAATCAGTATAACGAAAATATTATGTAATATTATATGTTCAAATCAAGGTACTGCTGATGAATATTAATGAAAAAACTTTTGGTTAGTCAAACTATAAAATTAAAAAACGGTCTTTGCATTCCTAATAGTAATTCTGAGATTCAGCAGGTATAATTTTATGTATATGAGCCTTTTAATAAGCATGGGGTCAATGCGAGAAAAACTTTGCCCACAAGTCCCTTGTTCGCTTCTTGAATTCGAAACAATTGATTTTGAAACAATTTAATCTGATTTCTTTCCAACAGTTGATTGTCCAATACGATTATTTAGACAAAAACATCGTTTCTTGAAATTGACCTTAGTTTCTTCACTCGTATCTCAGGTCGAACATATTTACCACTTTTATAAATTTACGTTCAGAATCACTTAGCAATGGTAAAGTTACACCGCCATTCAGACTCGCAGTTGAGCCGAAGAATGAATTGAAATCAGTGCTCTGAAACTCCTATGGTCTTTAAATGTTTCTTTGACGTCCACAAGCATTAAAACTCGGCCCGAAGACTTGGAAAGCTTTCAGGGAACTTGTAGACTTGTTTTATTGATGAAGAATGAGACCCGGGAACTTGACTTCCTTTCAAGCCTCGTGCTTCTTCATGTTCTTTACGATCACTTTTATCAAGGGGCAGTATGAGCGGGGTTCGAAGATTCATAGTCTTTTTCCCCATTAAATTTAATCGTTTAAATTCGGATACATTTTTTGGACTTCGCTGATATTTTGACGACGTTATTATGTTTTTGATTGTACCTTTTGCTTGCGTCTAGGCGCGGCAAAAAAAAATAGTAGTGCCAGTAACATTTTGGTGCTTAGAGAAAATGTTGCATGAATAACGCACTATATATACGCGCAGGGTGTACAATTGCATATTGTGAATACAATTGCATACAGAATACAATTCTGTATGATTTACTAAATCCACAAGCTTAACTGTTTCCTCAATTAGTATCATTTAAATACATGTTTGCACATTTATATACAAATCCCAGAAGGAAACATTATTCTGAAATATTGCTCTTGTCGTTGCTTGGATTCAAATCTACTGAAAGAGTTACAGGAGAAGCTGCAGGCAGCTGAAGGTGTCACGGCATGCAGCAAGTTTCATTCAATTCAGCAAATGTTGCAAGCAACAAATGCTGCAAGCGACAAATGCTGCAAGCATCAAATGCGACAAGCAACATATGCTACAAGCAACAAATGCGGCAAACAACAAATGCTGCAAACAACAAATGCTGTAAGCATCAAATGCGACAAGCAACAAATGCTACAAGCAACAAATGCTGCAAACAACAAATGCTGCAAGCGACAAATTATGCAAACAATTACAAATGCTGCAAACAACAAATGCTGTAAGCATCAAATGCTACAGACAACAAATGCTGCAAACAACAAATGCTGCAAACAACAAATGCTGCAAGCGACAAATTATGCAAACAATTATAAATGCTGCAAGCAACAAATGCTGCAAGCTAGCCATGCTCCGGGAAGTAGGAATGAACGCAGCCAGAGGTAATTTGGATCCCATTCCAGACATGCAGTCTGTAATTGAGTCCTGTAGTTTTTTGAAGCGAATTCTGTAGCTGCTACGTCGATCGTAACAGGCCTTACATCGAGAGAAAATAATTAAAGCGCATGAGACAATCTAGGCAAAATGTCTTTTGAGTATAAAAAATTACTGCAATTAAGAACCATGAGAATTTACCATCAAAAGGATTAAATCTCCACACGAAAGCAAACATATACATATAAGAGCTTGTAAAATCAGTCAAATAAAAATATATACCTAATAAAATCATCATGAGCTGAATTTTTATAATAAAGCCGTATTAATCGTATCAAAGCTCGAATTTTGTCACAGAAGAACACGACCTCAGTCAGTCTTATGTTTCGACAACGGACGCAACTTTAATTGAGCTAATCAAACTAAAACAATTTTACTGTTAATTGTCTCCAGAAGAGATTGTCTGAATAAATGCGAGTGGAATTAATTAAGCGCTACAACGGCCGCTCTACGGCACTCATATTAGCCGCTGATTTGTTTTTGAACAAAGTTTCATTGTTAACACAAGAGCACCGCAACATATAATAAGTATATGAGGATAACCGAACCAAGCATCTAATTACATATAGGGGACGCATGGCTCAATTTTCGCCTAACTTCTCCATAGGCAACCAAGCTACCGCAACGAGACGCCAAGTTTGGGGAAATTGGAATGAGTTTTAAAATGGTTTTTAAATGTTTTTAGATTTTAATTAGGTCTGAGAAAGACAAATATATATTATAGAAAGGGGAATTTTAACTCGCCGATTGGTTGAAATATTCTGAAAGTAAAGATCAATAGCTTGATAGTCGATTTATAGTTACAAATTCAAAACTAACATTTATTTCTTTTTAACATTAAATTCATGTTCATTGTCCTTACCAATTTACTTTGGAAAAGTATTGCACTTGATGAACTTATTTAATGAACCCGTCGCATTGAACCTGGCTGTAAGCATGCTACAAAACATGCCCACTCAAATAACAATATCTGCATTATTATGCATGGAAGAGCTGACTTTCATCTACAATATATCAATAAGAGATGAATTGCACTCATTGCGCTGAGGACACTTAGACTCTGCGTGCTTTTGCAGCGACTCCCTTGAGATAAGTGGACGTCGATTTTCGAAAACGAGATTTCGAATAAAAATTTTTTTAACTACAAAAGGGAATAGCTCCTTTTGATCGTTCCGAGGCTCGGAGAAAGAGTGGATAGAAAAACGCGTTTTTACGACGTCCATATTATTCGTGAACTTTTAACTTTTTGTCCTTGGTCCAGGAGTTATGGTCGCTGAGCTCTCTTCCACAGCTTAATCGCAACTTTTTTCCAATTTTCAGCCAGCGACATAAAGTTGTGTCGGTGACTGCGCAGTTTCATTTTTAGGAGAAAAGCAGTATCTCATGTTCGATATTTGGTGTTGTCATCTTCTCGCCCGCGATCTCAATTTTTTTTCTAGGATCAAATTATCAATGCTAAGTAAATGTCGATTTTAATATCGCCATATCTGAAACTCCTAATAAAGGTAAATAACAATTTACAAATCAAGTAATTGAACATTTAAAGTTAATCTACAATTTCCAGGAGGTTAATTCAATAAACATTTTTGTATTGATCCGTGCATGAATGTTAGTCCACAAATACTGAAATTCAAACTTATACCATTGCGAAAATCTAGTGAATAATTTAAACAAAATATCTTATAATTTTTCAATGTATATTAAATTATTATTAATATTATTATTATTTATTATTATTTAATCTTCTCTCTCTCGCTCGGAACGTGTACGGAAGATCTCACTCTGCGCTCGCAGGTATTGCATACAAACTTGTTTTTTCCTCACCATAGGAGACTCGCAAAAGTCACTTGCGTCTTCATGAAAGAGTTGTCTCAGAATTTGGAAAAAGTGCTGCGGAACGACGTCGTAAAGACTGAGACAGAAATACGGGCTCCTTAAAGCGATGTCAGGCGAGAGCTTTTTTACACGCCCGAGACTCTTATGAAACCTCGCTTTTACCGTCTGATTTCTTCTTTTTTTAAGTTTAGTTACACAAAATATGTGAAGACAATTGTATGATTGGAAAGAAAATTTTTGAGGCATTTACATTTATTTGGGTACCCCTACTTCATACATATTTTTAAGGAATTGCAATTTTAACTTAGAATCAAGTAGTACGATAATTTAACATTTATTTATATAAATAAAGTCAAACTTGAAATAGATCTCCAAACAATCCTCTGAAACTGATTACTTAGAAGTTTTAATGAACATAGAATTGATATTTTTTTATTAAATAAATTTAAATCATTCAGACAATGCGATCATTACTTTAAAAAATTAAGAAAATTAATTTCCGTTCATTACATTTTACAGGAAATATTGTAGAATTAAATAATTTTTTGCCAGGATTTAAGTTCCATCCTTCACTCACCTTAAAATACTTTGTTCAAGGATTAATAGCAAAATAAATAAATGAATATACTCATAATGATAGGAACTGTTTCAGGAATAAGAAACGAACGAAACTTAACATAAATGAATGAAAAATCCGTTAATGCTGCGTAAGCTACATAACTTTATCTCACCTGGCACATAGAGGTTAAGGTGCAGGCAATTCTCGCTCTGCCTTCTATTTTTGTCTTCTCTGCCTCGTACACAAAATAAATAAATGAAATATTCATAACGATAATAACTGTTTCAGAATTAAGAAACTCACGAAACTTAATATAAGTAAATGAAAAATCTGTTAATGTTGCGTACTATACTACATAACTTTATCTCACCTGGCACATAGAGGTTAAGGTGCAGGCAATTCTCGCTCTGCCTTCTCAGCAGATGAGCGTAGGCCGCGGGGGGGACCTGCGGGCAGGCTGGCCCGTGGGAGTCGGCCTGCAGCACCCGTTGCCATTGGGTGCTGGCGCGGGTGGGGCTTAAACGGTTACTGGCGACGGGTGCCGTGGCGTACGGGATGCCAAAGTACGTGGCTATCTTTTCTCCGTTGAGTACCGTCTGGTACAAGCCTTGCACTTGGCCGTAACGGGTGTTGATAACAGGTGTGCGGTCGGGTAATCCGTTTGGATTTTCAGAAATACTTGGAGTTACCAGAAAAAACAGCACTGTAAGTAATAGTGTCAGCACTTCACGAGGTTTGTACACACTCTTCATTCTACAACAATGCATCTTCATTCTATTTTCAGTTAAACTATTTGTTACATTTTTACGTGTATTAAATTTCTCAGATTTAACTATCCTAGTGCGACTTAACTTGATCATCTTATTTTCTATCATATTTTGGGATTTAATTGGCTTTGGTGGTGCAGATTTTTCATTTGTAGTACTGGCGATTGCATAATTAGAATAAATAAATTTTGTACAATCACTAGCAATCAGCCAGTAATTTTCACTCTCTTTCATATTCTCATATTTGCAGTTGATGGAACGGATATGCCATTGATTAACTTGATCCCCCGGCATCATTGTTTCAATAAATTATCTATATTTAAATGCACACAATTGTTAAACAATAAGCATTCAACTGTGAAATGTGCAATTTAAATCGATAACAGTTTTATGAGACAATATTTGCTCGCGCTTACATTTTATTCCACAATCCATTTCTGTTTATTATAAATAACTTTCATAACACGAAGCTAATGCAGAAAAAAATTCGGTAAATCACTCAAGCGCCTACAGACATCACACATTATTACCTCAGAATTTCAACCTCACATATTTCAACATTTTATTTCTTATTTATAGTCACAAGGAGGATTGTTTTCATTTGTTGAGAACACAGTTCACTAAAAGGTTAAAATTTCTGAACAATTCATACTCCAGATATATCTCGGCTTCAATACGTTGGGAAGCAAGACAAATGCTGTTATAATATCCAAAATTGCCCTGCACACGATAGATCCTGCAAATAAATATCTTGAGTGATAATAGGAATATAATTCATTTAATATACATGCCTTAATATATTAATATATACATGCCCTAATAAATATACATGCCTTAGCCTTGAATATCACGCAAAAAATATTGAGATCTGCGATTATATATGGATCGTTGTGGGAAACGCAATTAAAATTTTTACTAGCATCGTCAAGATACAACATCATATCATAAATTACGAATGTTTTGGGAATCAATCTTATAACAAAATAACTAAAAATAATTAAAAACAATTAGATTCCAAAGCAACTGAGTCATTTAACTTCAATGAAACAAGATAAGGTTATAATACCCATTAAGGTATAACATACTAGTTATTAGATCAGTCCTAAAAATATGGGTTGGTGCAACCGATGAGTAGTGAAGTTTTGATTACTTATTGATGAGTATGCATGATGAGTATTGATTTCTCATTCGGTAATGTCTGTTGAAGTATCAAACTCATCACCCCAACACGCACCCCCATACTGAAAAATATGAATGGGTATTTTTATCTAAATATTGTTACGCTTCCTAATCCCCCTCACGTAAAAAGAACGTACGTATTAGCACTGCTAGACCCGTTTTCCGAGCTAAACTGAGTCAAGATGACCCTCGACGAGGTCCAAAAGTGCAACGAAATTTGGACATTCTCACTCATTTATCTGCTGCCATTAATTAAATTGTAAGAATTACAGCTCCGACACGCACCATTGAACCTTGATATATTGTCTAGAACCTGACACATGACCTATATTAGTACAGCAATTATTATTCGCATTCAAATAACCGTATTCACTCTTTCCATTCATGGGGATTTAAAATAAGGTCGGGTTGTTCTATCAATTATTAAACTTTTTATTTAAGTATTCGATGTAAAAAATAACAAAATTTCGATGTAAATCAGCGTGCTACAAATGTTAACATATTTTTAAAAATTATTATACGCAAAATAATATTCATGAAAAATAAATAGCGTTTGAAAAAAACTGAACAGGAATGATTAGCCATGTACACTATTTATCTATAAATATCTCTGTTTTGAAAATCGTAGCACGTGTACTTGTAATATTGCTCAAGTACTCAATTTCCCTTTAGTCACATGACATAAATAAGAAAAATGACAAAAATGACATAAATATAAGTGAGCTTATCGATGCCGTGAGCACTTCAGCTAAACTTATGACACGAAAAATTCAGCATGACAGAAAGTTCCAGGCATGGTTATGAAATTTTTGTTAGTTTCGACCGGAAAACGTCTCGTTCACGGCATTTTTACATGGTCATCTTATTATTGAAATATGATTCTTCGAGTCAAACTTAAATTTTAGCCTAAGTTCGTTTATGCACGGGGTTTAGTTGTAAACTTGGTAGCTCCCTGTGGATATTGGAACGCATCCTGAAGCCATACAACAATCCGAAAGTCAATTATACGAAATAGTTGGCGAGCGTTTTACTATTCAATTGGTGTTTCGAAATTGAAATTTTTCGTGCTTCTTATGGATATCTTGGTTTCAAAGATAAACAAAGATTTAAGTAAGGCCAACAATAAATTTGTTTTGCCATATGCTGATCTTTGATATATATTTCAATGCCAAAACCTAGCAAAGTAATTCAATTATATTACTGATTAGGGTTATTCAGTAACATGAACAAGTCAAAAAGCTGTCGGTTCAGTAACGTTACTCGGTTAAGTGATTCTTCATGACCATGAAATTCTATTCAGTAACATGTCGTCGTGATAGGTATCTGAAATGTTAGTTGGCAGAGTTATCCATTAATAATACTCATTTATATGTGATGCAATACCGCGATTCGATAAGATAGTTTAAAAATGGAAATACCATGTATGGTTCAGAAATATTATTAAATAATGCTTTTCAGATCTACGATTTAATAATCTGGTATAGTATTGCGGTTTCACGAGAAGGAATTGGAATTTAATTTATCGGAGTTCAGTGTACCCAGCAATGGGATATATAACTAACTGGTGTGACTCATCAACCACATCTAGTGAATAATATTTAGTTGGAGATTTATAAACTATATGCATGCTAGAAGGATTAGAAATCTATAACAAATATGATATCAATGAATTTGTACTTCTAATTTATTCTGCAATACGCCTGTATATTTCGTTTAATTTCCCAAAGTATAAGCAATTTAGTAGCTAAATATTCTTTCAGTGGGAGCTGATATAAATTATCATGATCAAGGAAGAGGTTGAAAAGTAACTTATATTGACAGAAACTGCTATCAATTTGCACGATTGGCTGAAATTCCTATTTATTCGCATGATTTGTAAAAATTGTTATTGGTTTGCATGACTGGCAGAGTCGGTTATTAGCGAGTGTCGCAACGGTAACGGTTGAAAGTTTGGCAGCACTAATGGATATGGCACGCAGCTACTGTAAGTCCTTGGGAAAGGGTTAATACAGGTAGTTTAAAAAATTGATTTGTAAGCAAGGCTTCTGTAACGCTTATGTGATTATGTGACTAAACATAATTTGAAAAACATTACAATTGACGATTAACTCCATGAATGAACTTAGCCACTATATAAGGCGTAACATTCGAGAATTTGGAGAATTTTACACGAGGAGAATTTTTGGAAAAAAAGGACAGCCAAGCGGCTTCAATGGTGTTTCGAAGTTTTTTCTCGGGTACATTCATTCATGAATTGGGTGGGAAGTGTTTACTGTAAACGTATTTTCATCAGTCTTGTAATTCTTCGAATGCGAATGACTTAACTGCAATCCGGCATTTGATGTAACGACGAAATTATTGTATTAATTGTTTCAAGAAAGAATTAATTGATCTAAGAAGAGAAAATAGATACAGATTCCCATACAAACCGTAATAACTTTGGAATTAGGTTCAACTGGTACAGAGATTTGTCGAATTTATACATTAGTGCAAAAACTAAACTCAAGCATGTGCCGAAATTAACTTGCACCTACCCTAATGATATCGTACATCATCTCTACGCGTTGTACTAGTGAAAACAAATTCAACTGAAAAACTTTGCACAGCTAAAATTACAATTAGTGGAATTATTTTTAATCACGCGTACAGAATTTTCAATGCGTTTTGAATATAAGGAAGATTTCGCTGTTCTTATACGTGGAAAATTCCGTGCATTATTTTTGTTGCATTTGTGATATTTCCAAGCCTGCAGTAATATATGAATAGAAATTTTCGTTAAACAGCAACCTTAATTGCATCAATTTAAAGCCAACTCTTCGATAAGAAATTTGCATTACAAATCATTAAAATGAATTATGATGGTGCTAAAAAATATCGAAAATCCCTGAAAATTTCACGGTCATGGCTGCAGGCACCTGCGGCGATAGGTGCTGAAGGGACTACAGAATCTTAATTCGACACCCATAGCCCAGCTCCAGTCAATATTCCAACAGTTATATCGAATAATCGTCAGGATTGTCATGGTGCGACTTTTCGAGCGTTTGCAGGAGTTGTGATGCGAAGTCAGCGAAGCGTTTTTGACAGGTCGACGGAGCGTTTTTGACAGGACCGTGGAAGATTTTGGACAGAGCGGGGAGGGATTTTTGACAGGTCGAAGGGGACTTTTGAAAGTATGGTGGGAGGGGGATTTTTCGTATATCGTTAGAAATTTTCAAGATTTGCCTCACGATTTTTAATGAAATAGCAAAAATTACCATGACTGCATCTGCGAATTGATGACGCTAGAAGGCTTCTGCTAGTTGAAAGTTGGAGATATGGAAATGATGCAGTAATGTTAAGAAAAGTGTGAGAACAATAATGAGAGCACATAAAAATAAACATGCAAAGTTTATTAATGTCACAAATCTATTGAAAAAATATGCTGGTACATATGCAACACTGAAAGAGTTAATATTGACTGCTAGCTTTGATAAAGTGTCATCGTCAGGGGAGATAGTAAAGAATGTAATCAAAGAATATATAAGCGAATCACTGAATTTCATTTCCCTGACCGTGAAAATTGGGCGTCGTATTACTACTAAAAGAAAGATAATCCGCGAAGCCATTAAATTTCCTCGTAAATGTTATCACAGTTCTCATCTTTATCTCAGTTTTAAGACAGGTCGGTGTTCTCATTCCTCCCCCGTTTCTGCACTAGTAACTATAACTCTGCCTTCTTTGATCCAATTGTTGAGCTTTTTGTCGCCTGTTCCGTTATTTTTGATGCAATGGAATCCTGTCAGCCGAGAGCGAGGGAAAAAGTTGGA